CACAACAACATGTGTAATAGCTACGTTTCTCCACCGGGCAAAACGTAGTATATTCACAAATAACCCTCTCAAGATGTAACATGGATACAATATTTTGTAAAAAAAAACATGGAGCTTAAATAATCTTCGTAATATCTTTATATATATATTGAAGAAAATAAGCTCTGTGGCTACTAAACATGTTTTGTTTAACTGGAACATCTCCACATAAGATAACTTGTATTGATCCCAATTTGGGAAACGTTTGCAAAGAGACAAGGCATAAGAGAAATTAAAAGAGTAGAAACAAACAATTCTAAAATGTGAACATCTCAAAATAGAAATAAAACAGTGCTGAGGAATGGAATATTAAGTTAAATACAAGTGTAAAAAGTACATTGTGAGTTTAGGTCCAGTTATCCAAGAGAAGCTATGGAGCGCACAAGCTTCTAACACCACTTGCTGATTTTTTGAAGCGTAAATGCAATTGCCAGAAGTAAGTCATTTACCTTTTCTGGGTAAATCTTGCTAATAATCTTGTTTTTATCTTGTAAATAGATGTTTGGGTCACAGTACGTACAGACATGATTTGCTCACCAAGCCGTGGGAATTGTAGTCTTTTATACTCTGTTGAGACGTCACGCAGAGTTTGCCGGTCAACATGTCCGTTAAAGTTAAAATCTTGCGGACAAAATGAGAAAAGTGCCGGTCAAAGGTCTTCTTTGTTATTTATTGAGCTTTAAAACAAATTGATATGATTTGATATTAAACAAACTAATTATAGTAGATTAACTACATTATTCAAAAGTGTTCAGTAACTTACAATAACACGGGAACAATAAACGGAGCGCTCTCCCTCTCCTGACAGCCCGTCAGTATCATGCAGCTCGCGGATCAGTAATGAGTGACCCGACAGTAAAACTAAACATATCTATAACTAGTTACGGTAGTTTGAGAGGTCATTAAAATAGCTACGTGTGATATTCTAACCTGAAGTGTGTGTGTTGTTCCGCTCACCGCTGCAGGTGATCATGCAGAGCTGCGTGTCGACTCGTCAGCAGCAGCTGATCTCTCTCTCCCGTCAGATTAGACTTCACTCGCGTTTATGTCCATATCGATCAGATCCAGCTAGTTCTAGCTAATGATAGGACTACCTGCTTATTAAAAGACACCTCAACAATAAGTGTCGCTATGCAACTGGGTGAGGCCGCAAAGTATAGCGCAGCATTATGCATTTGTTTACATGCCCACCGGAACCCCGAGGCATTACCAACAGATCAACGCACAATCAACCCATCCAGGACATCTCTTTCTCCACATGTTAGACATTAGAATGGACTCTTCTTGTCTGTCACACACTCTTCTGTCTGTCACAGAAGTGGCGCAACTGATGCGGTGTTGCGCTAAGGGGACATTATTTTTGTCCGGACATTTTGACCAGAGAGATTTGGTTTTGCCGGTCTTCAGCATATTTTACCGGTCAAAGTCCGCTAATTACCGGCTAACGGGAACTCTGACGTCACGGTTAGGTGGCCTTTCTTATAAAAACTCAATAACACTGGCACATATTAAGGTCTGACAGCAGCTTCATCCCTCAATAGTCCATTGTTTAAGTTCTCTCTCCATTAAACGGCCACTTTGCTCCTCCTGTCTGAGAATGAAAGGAGTCGTCTTCCTGCAGGGAGGAGGAGAGGAGGAAGAGAAGCGCCTTCAGACTATAAATAGCAGGGGTTAACGGGGAGGCTTTTGGGGTTTGGATTGACGTCATGTTTATCGCTGTCCTCTGCTTTCTCCTTTCCCTTGCTCCTGTCTTCTGTTCTTTCTTTCTCTCCTCTCTCTGAATGATGTCCTTCTTACATGTGCATATCGCAGTGAATCATATGCAACAATAAATGCGTAAAATGTTATATATAACTGTAAATATTACAATAAAGGCAGTGGTGTATTGGTAATAATGCAGATAAGAATAAGGAAAACCAGATTATTGCTCAAATGTGCCGTACCTCTCAGTTGTTGTCGATCCTGACAGAATGTAGAGCATGATGCACACATGGTGTATCACCATGCATGGGTTACTGAACAGGCAAGCCGTGCTGGAAAGCTGTGGGTATTTGACAAATAAACAAAGAGATGAAGAGCCTTTTCATGCCTGAGGCAACCTCTGGTTTAGAAAAATCAAACCATACCATTGTTACGACCCGCCCTCTACTCAGTGGTAGTGACTCGTGGGGAGACCCGCAGCATAAAAGAAAACTCACCAAACATTCAGCACTTAACGGCGACCATTTATTTGTGGGTTACAGCCGTAATACACATGGGCCAACCGGCAAAGAACGAGGTCTGGAGGACTGGCAGAAACAAACAAAAGCAGAAGGGTGCCTTGGGCCAGCCACACCACGGGCCGTAGGACCCAGACATTCCTCCCCTACCCAAAAGTCCAACAAGTAACTACGGTCAGATATCAGATCCTCCAGAACACACAAGTTATGTGTCTTCCGGCATCATGATCGGGGGAGAGACCTCTTCTCCTCCAGCTTCTCCTTTTAAGTCCCCAGCTGAATGGAATTAGGACACCTGGGGGAGGCGGAGCCAGGGGCGGACCAGGTGTACCTGCGCAGCAGAGACAGAGAAGACAACAGAAAAGGGAGCACGTAACACCTTACAATAGCAGTGCCATTTCATTTTCATAAAGGCAGTGGCGTTTCTATATGTACAAAAGTGGTGGGGCACAAAACACTTAGTCTATATATAAGCTTCTGCAGTGAGGTTCATGGCTGGTGAGGCTCTGGCACTGACTCTTCAGGTTTACAAATATTATATTTTGACCTAAATCAAAATATAATATTATTTTCACAAGCTTTTTTTGTCTGATGCTTCAATTAATTTTAAACAGACAGTTCAACTGAAGGATACCCACAAAATGTAATTTTATCATTTAAATATTGAATTGTTCTCTCTTGGTAAGATCCCATTTTCAATCAAATTGCAGTCTTACCTTGACTTGAAGATGAAGTCCATTTGCCTATCCTTCTGGACAAAAATCTCTATTACTTTTTTGTAAAAGTCCTCCTTATGTTCTTGTAGTTTCAAAAGTTTATCATAAATCTAATCTAATCAATAGATTTATGATTCGAAAATGATAAAAGTAGGGTAGACATGTGGATATTATCCGGCTGAACAAAACGTGCATTTATCTAACAGGTTTGTTTCCCACAGATCTTATTTGGAGCTATTTTCTAAAATCCTATGGAGAAATCTCATTGCTTTTAGGTCGAGGGAAGCCATGCGCAGCTTACTTCCGGGTTTTAGGATGCCTCACTGCAGCTCTCTCGTCTCCTCTTCACACACCACACTTTTCGCGGCACACGTACTTACAGCCAATCAGCTCTGAATGATGTGAGATGACGTATGGTGGGGATGGCAGCTCTATGCCCCTATGGTCATTATTGTTTTGCCACACACATTAAAAAGGAAAATACTCTGAGCATGCGCAGTGTAGTTTTTACAGTCACTATTGACTTAGACAGTGAGAGGGAGGGGCAGGATCGGGTTTTGTCCCACATGGCTCTAAACAGCTCAATAGGCACACACTGTAGACACTAATTAGAAAAACACAGACTAAAACAGCAATGAGACGAATCAGATGATTAAACATGATCTTAAAATATATTTTATATATATATATATTTTTTTTTTTTGCATTTTGTTGTAATCATTATTTTTAATACTTTCTTCTGACACTAGGTGGGGCTGTGCCCCACCTGCCCCTAATGACCAGTCGCCACTGCATAAAGCTACAAACATTTCAGTAACAATTTGACTTTATTTTCTCATTATTACAAATTATTCTGGTAATGTTACGAGGTTATTTCCCACTAAATAACAGATAGTTGGAATGCTGATACAGCATTCCAACTATCTGTTATCTGTTATTATCCTATGAAAATGCTCAAAAAGTGCCCAAACTTCACATGTGTGCTAACAGTCCAGCTGTGAAGACATCTATTTGACAGTTTTAAGATTTCTCCAAATGCCGTTGCCTTGGCAACACAATCCTCACTATGAAACACGGTTTTCTCACAACTTCAGTTCAAATGCTCCAAACGGTCCGAAACTGCACAGGTTTGGTAACGGTGCAGCCATCAACGCATCTAAGCGTATTATGGGGTGTCATCAAATGCCGTTGCCATGGCGACAGATCATTCGCCATCAAGTTAGTTGAAAAGTTTGCAGTTCAAATATTCTGCTGCTTTTCCAAGCCTTTTTCCTACACATTCAAGCCCCCAGTGTTCATGTATCATTTCAATCTAAATGCTTCACTTTCTTCTTACACATTACATTTCAGCAATTCAGCGTCAGCTTTTCAGCACAAAGCATTCCCATTCTCTAGTTCTCTGTCCATCTTCTCATGACATTTTGTAGAAGCTGAACAGATGTTCTGAGGCTGGTGTGTGTGTGTGTGTGTGTGTGTGTGTGTGTGTGTGTGTGTGTGTGTGTGTGTGTGTGTGTGTGTGTGTGTGTGTGTGTGTGTGTGTGTGTGTGTGTGTGTGTGTGTGTGTGTGTGTGTGTGTGTGTGTGTGTGGTGTGTGTGTGTGTGTGTGTGGTGTGTGTGTGTGTGTGTGTGTGTGTGTGTGTGTGTGGTGTGTGTGTGTGTGTGTGTGTGTGTGTGTGTGTGTGTGTGTGTGTGTGTGTGTGTGTGTGTGTGTGTGTGTGTGTGAGCAGATGTAAGTTGAGCTCGAGGCTAAAATCTGTCCTCCATCTGCCGCTCACCCTCAAGATGTTTCATAAAACCTCGTGAACATCTCAACTCTGTGGCTTCAGACTAAAGTTCAAGTTTAAATCTAACATTACTTTAATGCCCTTTTTCTAACATCAGCGCTGGGATGTTTCTTCTTGTTTATATCGAACCCTCCTCTGCATTACCTCATTATATTCGTCTATCTGTAACGGCTGCAGCCTTGTTAACAGCTGGGCATTGTATTATATCAGAGTTGTATTAACGATGATCTTCTGCCCTTCAGCCACCTGGATAACCACCACCTGTGGGACCCCAATGAGTTCGCTGTGTCCTGCTTCAGAATCATCATGTACTCCATCCAGGTACAGTACTCTCAAGATACTCATGTTTAAAAATACTCTGGTGAAAGTAGAAGTACTGACTAAACTTCTTTACTCAAGTCAAAGTAAAGAGGCTTTGAAGTGTACTTCAGTAAAAAGTACCCATAACTAGCAGCTGCTTTAAAGAGTACCTGACCTCCCTTTATATTAATAGAACAATAATGTCATTGTTAGCTAATGAATGTTTCCATGCTGAACAACGGCAACATGACAACGTTTCCATTGGTCCCTCTTCTTTAGAGAAGACCAGGAAATGATGGATACACGGATCGTGTTCAAATCAATAGGCACGCAATGACTCTAAAGAATAATGATCACGCATCAAACACACATTCAGACTAAGGAACCAGCTGTTTGGAAAATGAGAGAAGTAGAAAGTACAGGTATTTGTGTTCAACATGTAAGAAGTAGAAAGTACAGGTATTTGAGTTCAACATGTGAGAAGTAGAAAGTACAGGTATTTGAGTTCAACATGTAAGAAGTAGAAAGTACAGGTATTTGAGTTCAACATGTGAGAAGTAGAAAGTACAGGTATTTGAGTTCAACATGTAAGAAGTAGAAAGTACAGGTATTTGAGTTCAACATGTAAGAAGTAGAAAGTACAGGTATTTGAGTTCAACATGTAAGAAGTAGAAGGTACAGGTATTTGAGTTCAACATGTAAGAAGTAGAAAGTACAGGTATTTGAGTTCAACATGTAAGAAGTAGAAAGTACAGGTATTTGAGTTCAACATGAGAGAAGTAGAAGTACAGGTATTTGTGTTCAACATGTGAGAAGTAGAAAGTACAGGTATTTGAGTTCAACATGTAAGAAGTAGAAAGTACAGGTATTTGAGTTCAACATGTGAGAAGTAGAAAGTACAGGTATTTGAGTTCAACATGTAAGAAGTAGAAAGTACAGGTATTTGTGTTCAACATGTAAGAAGTAGAAAGTACAGGTATTTGAGTTCAACATGTAAGAAGTAGAAAGTACAGGTATTTGAGTTCAACATGTGAGAAGTAGAAAGTACAGGTATTTGTGTTCAACATGTAAGAAGTAGAAAGTACAGGTATTTGAGTTCAATATGTAAGAAGTAGAAAGTACAGGTATTTGTGTTCAAAATGTAAGAAGTAGAAAGTACAGGTATTTATGTTCAACATGTAAGAAGTAGAAAGTACAGGTATTTGAGTTCAACATGTAAGAAGTAGAAAGTACAGGTATTTGTGTTCAATATGTAAGAAGTAGAAAGTACAGGTATTTGTGTTCAACATGTAAGAAGTAGAAAGTACAGGTATTTGTGTTCAATATGTAAGAAGTAGAAAGTACAGGTATTTGTGTTCAACATGTAAGAAGTAGAAAGTACAGGTATTTGTGTTCAACATGTAAGAAGTAGAAAGTACAGGTATTTATGTTCAACATGTGAGAAGTAGAAAGTACAGGTATTTGTGTTCAACATGTAAGAAGTAGAAAGTACAGGTATTTGTGTTCAATATGTAAGAAGTAGAAAGTACAGGTATTTGTGTTCAACATGTAAGAAGTAGAAAGTACAGGTATTTGTGTTCAATATGTAAGAAGTAGAAAGTACAGGTATTTGTGTTCAATATGTAAGAAGTAGAAAGTACAGGTATTTGTGTTCAACATGTAAGAAGTAGAAAGTACAGGTATTTGAGTTCAACATGTGAGAAGTAGAAAGTACAGGTATTTGAGTTCAACATGTAAGAAGTAGAAAGTACAGGTATTTGAGTTCAACATGTAAGAAGTAGAAGGTACAGGTATTTGAGTTCAACATGTAAGAAGTAGAAAGTACAGGTATTTGAGTTCAACATGTAAGAAGTAGAAAGTACAGGTATTTGAGTTCAACATGAGAGAAGTAGAAAGTACAGGTATTTGTGTTCAACATGTGAGAAGTAGAAAGTACAGGTATTTGAGTTCAACATGTAAGAAGTAGAAAGTACAGGTATTTGAGTTCAACATGTGAGAAGTAGAAAGTACAGGTATTTGAGTTCAACATGTAAGAAGTAGAAAGTACAGGTATTTGTGTTCAACATGTAAGAAGTAGAAAGTACAGGTATTTGAGTTCAACATGTAAGAAGTAGAAAGTACAGGTATTTGAGTTCAACATGTGAGAAGTAGAAAGTACAGGTATTTGTGTTCAACATGTAAGAAGTAGAAAGTACAGGTATTTGAGTTCAATATGTAAGAAGTAGAAAGTACAGGTATTTGTGTTCAAAATGTAAGAAGTAGAAAGTACAGGTATTTATGTTCAACATGTAAGAAGTAGAAAGTACAGGTATTTGAGTTCAACATGTAAGAAGTAGAAAGTACAGGTATTTGTGTTCAATATGTAAGAAGTAGAAAGTACAGGTATTTGTGTTCAACATGTAAGAAGTAGAAAGTACAGGTATTTGTGTTCAATATGTAAGAAGTAGAAAGTACAGGTATTTGTGTTCAACATGTAAGAAGTAGAAAGTACAGGTATTTGTGTTCAACATGTAAGAAGTAGAAAGTACAGGTATTTATGTTCAACATGTGAGAAGTAGAAAGTACAGGTATTTGTGTTCAACATGTAAGAAGTAGAAAGTACAGGTATTTGTGTTCAATATGTAAGAAGTAGAAAGTACAGGTATTTGTGTTCAACATGTAAGAAGTAGAAAGTACAGGTATTTGTGTTCAATATGTAAGAAGTAGAAAGTACAGGTATTTGTGTTCAATATGTAAGAAGTAGAAAGTACAGGTATTTGTGTTCAATATGTAAGAAGTAGAAAGTACAGGTATTTGAGTTCAACATGTAAGAAGTAGAAAGTACAGGTATTTGAGTTCAACATGTGAGAAGTAGAAAGTACAGGTATTTGGGTTCAACATATAAGAAGTAGAAAGTACAGGTATTTGAGTTCAACATATAAGAAGTAGAAAGTACAGGTATTTGAGTTCAACATGTGAGAAGTAGAAAGTACAGGTATTTGTGTTCAATATGTAAGAAGTAGAAAGTACAGGTATTTGTGTTCAAAATGTAAGAAGTAGAAAGTACAGGTATTTGAGTTCAACATGTAAGAAGTAGAAAGTACAGGTATTTGAGTTCAACATGTGAGAAGTAGAAAGTACAGGTATTTGGGTTCAACATATAAGAAGTAGAAAGTACAGGTATTTGAGTTCAACATATAAGAAGTAGAAAGTACAGGTATTTGAGTTCAACATGTGAGAAGTAGAAAGTACAGGTATTTGTGTTCAATATGTAAGAAGTAGAAAGTACAGGTATTTGTGTTCAACATGTAAGAAGTAGAAAGTACAGGTATTTGTGTTCAACATGTGAGAAGTAGAAAGTACAGGTATTTGTGTTCAACATGTAAGAAGTAGAAAGTACAGGTATTTATGTTCAACATGTGAGAAGTAGAAAGTACAGGTATTTGTGTTCAACATGTAAGAAGTAGAAAGTACAGGTATTTGTGTTCAATATGTAAGAAGTAGAAAGTACAGGTATTTGTGTTCAACATGTAAGAAGTAGAAAGTACAGGTATTTGTGTTCAATATGTAAGAAGTAGAAAGTACAGGTATTTGTGTTCAATATGTAAGAAGTAGAAAGTACAGGTATTTGTGTTCAATATGTAAGAAGTAGAAAGTACAGGTATTTGTGTTCAACATGTAAGAAGTAGAAAGTACAGGTATTTATGTTCAACATGTAAGAAGTAGAAAGTACAGGTATTTGTGTTCAATATGTAAGAAGTAGAAAGTACAGGTATTTGTGTTCAAAATGTAAGAAGTAGAAAGTACAGGTATTTGAGTTCAACATGTAAGAAGTAGAAAGTACAGGTATTTGAGTTCAACATGTGAGAAGTAGAAAGTACAGGTATTTGGGTTCAACATATAAGAAGTAGAAAGTACAGGTATTTGAGTTCAACATATAAGAAGTAGAAAGTACAGGTATTTGGGTTCAACATGTGAGAAGTAGAAAGTACAGGTATTTGAGTTCAACATATAAGAAGTAGAAAGTACAGGTATTTGGGTTCAACATGTAAGAAGTAGAAAGTACAGGTATTTGGGTTCAACATGTAAGAAGTAGAAAGTACATGTATTTGCGTTCAACATGTAAGAAGTAGAAAGTACAGGTATTTGAGTTCAACATGTAAGAAGTAGAAAGTACAGGTATTTGTGTTCAATATGTAAGAAGTAGAAAGTACAGGTATTTGTGTTCAACATGTAAGAAGTAGAAAGTACAGGTATTTGTGTTCAACATGTAAGAAGTAGAAAGTACAGGTATTTATGTTCAACATGTGAGAAGTAGAAAGTACAGGTATTTGTGTTCAACATGTAAGAAGTAGAAAGTACAGGTATTTGTGTTCAATATGTAAGAAGTAGAAAGTACAGGTATTTGTGTTCAACATGTAAGAAGTAGAAAGTACAGGTATTTGTGTTCAATATGTAAGAAGTAGAAAGTACAGGTATTTGTGTTCAATATGTAAGAAGTAGAAAGTACAGGTATTTGTGTTCAATATGTAAGAAGTAGAAAGTACAGGTATTTGTGTTCAAAATGTAAGAAGTAGAAAGTACAGGTATTTATGTTCAACATGTAAGAAGTAGAAAGTACAGGTATTTGTGTTCAATATGTAAGAAGTAGAAAGTACAGGTATTTGTGTTCAATATGTAAGAAGTAGAAAGTACAGGTATTTGTGTTCAATATGTAAGAAGTAGAAAGTACAGGTATTTGTGTTCAAAATGTAAGAAGTAGAAAGTACAGGTATTTATGTTCAACATGTAAGAAGTAGAAAGTACAGGTATTTGAGTTCAACATGTGAGAAGTAGAAAGTACAGGTATTTGTGTTCAATATGTAAGAAGTAGAAAGTACAGGTATTTGTGTTCAATATGTAAGAAGTAGAAAGTACAGGTATTTGTGTTCAAAATGTAAGAAGTAGAAAGTACAGGTATTTATGTTCAACATGTAAGAAGTAGAAAGTACAGGTATTTATGTTCAATATGTAAGAAGTAGAAAGTACAGGTATTTGTGTTCAATATGTAAGAAGTAGAAAGTACAGGTATTTGTGTTCAAAATGTAAGAAGTAGAAAGTACAGGTATTTATGTTCAACATGTAAGAAGTAGAAAGTACAGGTATTTGAGTTCAACATGTAAGAAGTAGAAAGTACAGGTATTTGTGTTCAATATGTAAGAAGTAGAAAGTACAGGTATTTGTGTTCAATATGTAAGAAGTAGAAAGTACAGGTATTTGTGTTCAAAATGTAAGAAGTAGAAAGTACAGGTATTTATGTTCAACATGTAAGAAGTAGAAAGTACAGGTATTTGTGTTCAACATGTGAGAAGTAGAAAGTACAGGTATTTGTGTTCAACATGTAAGAAGTAGAAAGTACAGGTATTTATGTTCAACATGTGAGAAGTAGAAAGTACAGGTATTTGTGTTCAACATGTAAGAAGTAGAAAGTACAGGTATTTGTGTTCAATATGTAAGAAGTAGAAAGTACAGGTATTTGTGTTCAACATGTAAGAAGTAGAAAGTACAGGTATTTGTGTTCAATATGTAAGAAGTAGAAAGTACAGGTATTTGTGTTCAATATGTAAGAAGTAGAAAGTACAGGTATTTGTGTTCAATATGTAAGAAGTAGAAAGTACAGGTATTTGTGTTCAACATGTAAGAAGTAGAAAGTACAGGTATTTATGTTCAACATGTAAGAAGTAGAAAGTACAGGTATTTGTGTTCAATATGTAAGAAGTAGAAAGTACAGGTATTTGTGTTCAAAATGTAAGAAGTAGAAAGTACAGGTATTTGAGTTCAACATGTAGAAGTAGAAAGTACAGGTATTTGAGTTCAACATGTGAGAAGTAGAAAGTACAGGTATTTGGGTTCAACATATAAGAAGTAGAAAGTACAGGTATTTGAGTTCAACATATAAGAAGTAGAAAGTACAGGTATTTGGGTTCAACATGTGAGAAGTAGAAAGTACAGGTATTTGAGTTCAACATATAAGAAGTAGAAAGTACAGGTATTTGGGTTCAACATGTAAGAAGTAGAAAGTACAGGTATTTGGGTTCAACATGTAAGAAGTAGAAAGTACATGTATTTGCGTTCAACATGTAAGAAGTAGAAAGTACAGGTATTTGAGTTCAACATGTAAGAAGTAGAAAGTACAGGTATTTGTGTTCAATATGTAAGAAGTAGAAAGTACAGGTATTTGTGTTCAACATGTAAGAAGTAGAAAGTACAGGTATTTGTGTTCAACATGTAAGAAGTAGAAAGTACAGGTATTTATGTTCAACATGTGAGAAGTAGAAAGTACAGGTATTTGTGTTCAACATGTAAGAAGTAGAAAGTACAGGTATTTGTGTTCAATATGTAAGAAGTAGAAAGTACAGGTATTTGTGTTCAACATGTAAGAAGTAGAAAGTACAGGTATTTGTGTTCAATATGTAAGAAGTAGAAAGTACAGGTATTTGTGTTCAATATGTAAGAAGTAGAAAGTACAGGTATTTGTGTTCAATATGTAAGAAGTAGAAAGTACAGGTATTTATGTTCAACATGTAAGAAGTAGAAAGTACAGGTATTTGTGTTCAATATGTAAGAAGTAGAAAGTACAGGTATTTGTGTTCAAAATGTAAGAAGTAGAAAGTACAGGTATTTGAGTTCAACATGTAAGAATTAGAAAGTACAGGTATTTGAGTTCAACATGTGAGAAGTAGAAAGTACAGGTATTTGGGTTCAACATGTGAGAAGTAGAAAGTACAGGTATTTGGGTTCAACATATAAGAAGTAGAAAGTACAGGTATTTGAGTTCAACATGTAAGAATTAGAAAGTACAGGTATTTGAGTTCAACATGTGAGAAGTAGAAAGTACAGGTATTTGAGTTCAACATGTAAGAATTAGAAAGTACAGGTATTTGAGTTCAACATATAAGAAGTAGAAAGTACAGGTATTTGAGTTCAACATGTAAGAATTAGAAAGTACAGGTATTTGAGTTCAACATGTGAGAAGTAGAAAGTACAGGTATTTGAGTTCAACATGTGAGAAGTAGAAAGTACAGGTATTTGGGTTCAACATATAAGAAGTAGAAAGTACAGGTATTTGAGTTCAACATATAAGAAGTAGAAAGTACAGGTATTTGGGTTCAACATGTGAGAAGTAGAAAGTACAGGTATTTGAGTTCAACATATAAGAAGTAGAAAGTACAGGTATTTGGGTTCAACATGTGAGAAGTAGAAAGTACAGGTATTTGGGTTCAACATGTAAGAAGTAGAAAGTACAGGTATTTGGGTTCAACATGTAAGAAGTAGAAAGTACAGGTATTTGGGTTCAACATGTAAGAAGTAGAAAGTACAGGTATTTGGGTTCAACATGTAAGAAGTAGAAAGTACAGGTATTTGGGTTCAACATGTAAGAAGTAGAAAGTACAGGTATTTGTGTTCAACATGTAAGAAGTAAAAGTAAAAAGTGGTCAGAAAAATAAGTTGTGGAGTAAAGTACTGATACCAGAAACATGTACTTAAGTACAGCAATTAAATATTTGTACTACACTGTCAGATGCTCAGAATCACAATGCAAATCAGATGGTAATTATTCCTGCAAATATTTAAACTGGGAAGGAAGCACAAAGCCAGCAGGCTGTCGCTCACATTCAGTCACATGATCACAATGGACCAATTACATGAGAGTCCTGCTACGGGACTGGGTACATGTTCTAAAAATGGACAATCTGTTTAACATTGATTTATTGTGAATGTTCAACAGATTGTAATTCCTACACTTTTCTGAAAATGTAGGAATTGTTACTTTATTCAGAAAATCCGACATTTCTGAACATTTTAGAATTCAGACTTTTCAAAAAGATCCGACTTTTTCTCGGAATTCTGTTTTTTTTCTGAAAATCTCCTCTTTTTGACTTTTTTCTATAAATCTAAACATTCTGACTTTGTTCAAAAAATTCTTACTTATTTTCAGAAAATTACAGAATTTAGATTTTTATCTGAAAATCCAGAATTCTAACTTTTTTTTTAAATTATGGCTCTTTTTCCCTGAAATTATGACTTTATTCTGAAATTAGGACTTTTCTGTAGAAATTGAGATTTGTACATTTTTCTCAAAAGTCTCACTTTTTTCTGAAACTTCTAACTTTTTTCAGAAAATCTCAGAATTCCAATTGTTCAGTCACAATGGACATGAGAGTCTTGTTTTGGGACTGGGTAAATGTTCTGTCTAACATTGACAATAAATCTCATTCTCCTCCTGTGTCTGTTTTGTCCCGCTCCAGGCTCAGCACTCGCACCACGTGATCCAGCAGGTTCTGAACCACCTGGACACCAACAACAAGAACACGCCGCGGGTCAGAGCCGGCATCGTGCAGGTTCTGCTGGAGACCGTGGCCATCGCCGCTAAAGGATCTGTGGGTGAGTTTAGAGGAAGACTGTTATGGTATTGATTGTATTGTTTTTTTCCAAGCTAGAGGGTGTAGACGTTGTTAAAATGGGGAAGTTCTCTTTATACGTCCACGAAGCAATCATGCAGAACTTCGTTAATGCGGAACTGGGCGTGGTTCAATCTAAACTGAGTTGGATAGCCGCCGCCGGACAGCGCAAAATGTTACGCTACGATGTAAATGCAAAATGAAGCAGACATCTGATTGGCTACAGACACTTTAAAAAAACGCAATTGCGAATCTAATAGTGTCAGGAAATCTCAAAACTCTTCACCCAAATGCAGATTCACACACTAAAAGCGTGATACAATTTGTGTGTGCATTGAAAAATATTTATATACATCCCGGATAATATATGTGTATCCTTCGGTGAGCATTTACTTATTTTGAGACTCCACCATTCCCACTAGCTGGAAATACTCACAATATCGTCATTAGATTATCTTTCGGACGTATTATAGTGGAAAGACGAAACAGGAGGCATGCAGCAACTGGTCCGACATCTCAGAATCAAACTGGGCTTGTAATACTAATATTGCGCCCAATGTACGATATGGAACAACTAACTAATATAAATTAAACGTTTTTTAAGTCTGTTTAATATGATTTGAAGGCCGGGACGCCTCTGAAGCCCCACACTACTTCATTCAGAAGATTATTAACACATTTTGCCTGTAAAGAAATGAGCGTTTACCACATTTCAGCCCATAATGCAACATTGGTTACATGTTGATTAATTGCCCCAACCTGAACCACTTCCTGTCCGTCTAACTGTCCTTTCTAACCTCCAACAACTCTCTGCACACCTCTATCCAACGCAACACAACACCACCTTCTTCATATTAAGATATCAAAAAGCCACTTGACTTTGTTCCATCTTTGAGCAACGTACAGTCGTCACAAGTCCTACATCTGTAAGGCCGACATATTGTTTCTTACCCGACCATCCCCTTATCATTATCTTATCTCAATCTTTATTTATTTATATAGCACACTTAATACGACTGTCCACTCCAAGTAGGGAATAAGTCCTTACCCAAGTGAAGGAGTTCAAGTATCTCGGGGTCTTGTTCTCGAGTGAGGGAACAATGGAGCGTGAGATGGGCCGGAGAATCGGAGCAGCGGGAGCGGTACTGCAGTCGCTTTACCGCACCGTTGTGACGAAAAGGGAGCTGAGCCAGAAGGAAAAGCTCTCTGTCTACCGGGCCATTTTCATCCTACCCTCACCTATGGTCATGAAGGATGGGTCATGACCGAAAGAACGAGATCGCGGATACAAGCGGCCGAGATGGGTTTTCTCCGCAGGGTGGCTGGTGTCTCCCTTAGGGATAAGGTGAGAAGTTCGGTCATCAGGGAGGGACTCGGAGTTGAGCCGCTCCTCCTTCGCGTCGAAAGGAGCCAGTTGAGGTGGTTCGGGCTCCTAGTTAGGATGCCACCTGGGCGCCTCCCTAGGGAGGTGTTCCAGGCACGTCCAGCTGGGAAGAGACCAAGGGGTAGACCTAGGACCAGGTGGAGGGATTATATCTCTTCGCTGGCCTGGGAGCGCCTTGGGATCCCCCAGTCAGAGCTGGTTGATGTCGCCAGGGAAAAGAAAGTTTGGGGCTCTCTGCTGGAACTGCTACCCCCGCGACCCGACCACGGATAAGCGGGAGAAGATGGATGGACTTAATACAACCTCAATAGACCAAAGTGCTGTACAGGGAACAAATACAATATATAATAACACCATTTATTATTTATCTTCATTGTATTATCTCTAACAGGAAACAGGTGTTTTAAAAAGATGTGTTTTGACCTCACCGTCGTTTGTTCAGTGGTTTCTTTCCACTCAAGTGTTTGTGTGTGTAATTGCCTGCTAATTGAATAATCATGAATTCAAACCCCCTTGAGATGAGAACAATACAATCATCTGGTTCCCTGTAGGCATCCCATTGATTTAAAAACACTTTATGTATTGAGTTGTATTTACCTGAATGAATTAATATCATGCCGCCTGGACAGGAATGATTCAAGAGACCAAAGAAGGGGAAGGGTTTGGATTTGAAAATGAAATCAGGATGCCTCCAAATCTGTGGCTCGGTACAGTATGAGTGTGGTTTATTTAGATTACATGTGTAGAGAAGTCCCCACACACACACACACACACACACACACACACACACACACGCACGCACACACACCTACACTTGTCTTTATGGATCATTGTGAAGATCCATGGATGTGTGGGGGAAGTTTTTTATGTAGATTAGGACGTGATTCTTAGGCTGCAGCCACACGAGGACAAAAACGTCTAAACGCATAGGATTAACGCAAACGCAATCACAAACAAGCTTCCGTCCACACGCAATAGTTATCCGGATAGTGTCTGCCCACACGAGACCGCTCCGTTTAGCTCCAACCGCTGGAGAAGCTGCAGTACATGCAGGAGCCTGTACGTGGCGCTGTAACTTCCTCCACAAAAGCAGCGAAGAAGCATGGTTGTCATGGTTGCCCTTCTGTTTATTCTCCGCGGTGGGGGCCGAGGGAACCGGGCAGAGTTTTTCGCCAGTCAACGTGTATTAAAGTTTAAACCTTCCGACAAAATTATAAAAGTGCCGGTCAAAGGTCTTCTTTGTTATTTATTGAGCTTTAAAACAAATGAATAATGACTCTATATATTATAATAATAAAAATACACGGAGCCTCTTTTTCCTCCCTCTCTTCGGACAGCGCCAGTGTCTGTCTCATGCAGCAGCTGATCCAGTAATGAGTGACCCGGCAGTAATAATAAACATATTTATAACTAGTTTAGGTAGTTTGAGAGGTGTCTCCGTCCTGTCAGATTAGACTTCACTCGCGTTTATGTCCATATCGAGAGAAAGATAAATAATCTGAATTCAGTGTGCAGTTTACTTTGACGCGGGGGGTGAGCAGCAGAGGTGGGGAGAGGCGGGGGCTATTGCGCAATCATTATCAGAAAATGATCGTATAGGGCGTACACACGGAGCTGTTGGACCCCCCAGAGCGTTGCGTATGCCGTTCTATCCACCTTGGGACCCGTTATCGTTTCCTCAGTCGTTTAGTGCCGTATTCGGTCGTCCTCGTGTGGCCGAACGGTCTATACGACACTAAACAGTAACGCAAACGGCCGTTTTTGACCTCGTGTGGCCGAATGGTCTATACGACACTAAACAGTAACGCAAACGGCCGTTTTTGACCTCGTGTGGCTGCAGCCTTAGTCACAAAATGTGTGTTTTAGTGCCGTAGATGATCGGATTATGTGTATTTTTTTCTCAGCAGATCCTGTGGTAGAGGAGCTTCTAGAGTTCCTTTAGTTTTATACGTGGAGGAGAGAACTGTTTGGGTTGTTTTCTAAAGATATCTGAAACTAAATATCCTGTCTGTAAATGTTTGTGATCAAAGAATGAGTCACTTGGTTTTAGTCCCTAAATCAAATGAACACTTGGAGGGCTTGATTACATCCTGTTGGAGGGTTCAATAACTCCCACTGTGAGATATGGAAAGTGATGTGTTGTAAATCTAATGTTATGTTAGATCAAAAACATATTAATATTAGATATATTTTGTGTGTGTGTGTCTCTGTGTGCGCGCATGTGTGTAGGCCCCACGGTGCTGGAGGTGTTCAACACTCTGCTGAAACACCTGAGGATGAGCGTGGACTTTGAGACAGGAGAAGGTTTGAGGAGGAACTCGAGCAGCAGCGTTTCCTCCGGACGCAGCAAAGAGAGCGAGGAGAGGATCGTGCAGAACGCCATCATCCAGACCATCGGTACGTCACCATGGATACGTGTATTTCTGTAACTTACACGTGTTATTTTGAGTCCATAAGTGCCTCCTAATGCAAAGTATGGCCGTTTGAACTGAGTGTCTTGATAGTGCTGTCAAAAAGCTGCATTTACATGATACACAATGTTCTCTTTGCTCACCAGCGTTCCACTTGCTGGACATTTCTCACATTCAACTGCCATCTTGGCAACGTAGCGTAAATTGCGTGACCTTGAGATAGATAGATGTCAGAGCCACTGAAACACCACTAAATGCATCCTTAAATTGGCCATCAATGCACCATTTAATGTACCATAAATACAACCTTTAATAGACCCCTTATTCATTCTAAATGTTAGTGTTTTTAAGCATTTTATAGTGGAAAGAGAAAAAGAGGAGGGAAGCAGCAATTGGTCCGCCGTCTTGGATAGAGTGATTCACTGCTGGGAGAATTGGCGCCCAATCGAGGGCTGCACAATGAACAAAAATAACGTTGACAATCACTTTGTGTGAGTGCTGAGTCGTGGACGTCCAGAACGCCATCACCCAGACCATGGATACGTCACCATGGATACGTGTTCTTCTGTACCTTACATGTGTTATTTTGAGTCCATAAGTGCCTCCTAATGCAAAGTATGGCAGTTTGAACTGGCTGTCGAAAAGCTGCATTCTCATGATACACAATTTTCCCTTTTCCACTTTTTGACTTCTATTAATGACGCCGGACATTTCTCATATTCAACATGCGCCATCTTGGCTACGTGAAAAAGTCAGAATTTTGATATTTTCTGAAAAAAGTCGGAATTTTGATATTTTCAGAAAAAAATCCAAATTTTGATATTTTCAGAAAAAATACAAAATGCTGATATTTTTGGGAAAAATAATTAATTTCGAGATTTTTTGGAAAAGTGTTGGATTTTCAGAAAAAAGTCAGGATTTTCAGAAAAAATGAAGACTTTCAGAAAAAGTCATAATTTTGAGAGTTTCATAAAAAGTCATTACGTTGAGATGCTCTGGAAAATGTCTTGGCCACGTAGCGTAAGATGTGCGCCCTTTAGCCGTTGCTCCTGAACGATACAAAAGCGTTGATGATTATTTGTCTGAATGCTGAGTCTCTCGTCTCTCCTGTTCCCTGCCAGGCTTCTTCGGGGGAAACCTGCCCGACTACCAGCGAGCTGAAGTCATGATGTTCATTATGGGGAAAGTGCCCGTCTACGGGACCCCCTGCCACACTTTGGACACCGTGAAGATAGGGTGAGAGACACACACACACCATGTATACCAGGGGTATTCAACTCAAATTTGACGAGGTCCAGTTAGAGAAAATGTCCCCTTGCAAAGGTCCGGAACTTCAACATGTCTAAGTTGCTTTATGAATGAGTGTGATATATATTGAAGTAGCTTTATCAACGTCTGCATGTAATCAACAGCTGACTGCCAATCAAATAAAGAAAGTACAATTCATAAACAACAATATTTATTGTCAATTAACATTGAACTACAGATATACAGTCAATACTGTGGATATATAATAAATAAAATAGCTTTTGAAAATGTGTGCATCTTAAAAGTGCTTAATTTTAGATAAATAAAATAAAGTGTAGCAGCAGCTTGAGTTTCCCTTTTTCTTTGTTAACTGTTTCACATCATGACTTAACAGTTTCAGCCGAGTATAGAACAATATCAGTCTTTACATCATAACAATTGAACAGTTTCAAAGTGTCTCTTTCTGTCCCTCTTATATTGCAGCCCCTCACTCACTTTGTTTTATTCAGTGAGAGAATTGAGCTGGAGCTTATTGTCCTGCCAGGAGTGCTCATTGGTTAGCCTCGGTTAGCTCATTGGTTAGCCTCGGTTAGCTCATTGGTTAGCCTCGGTTAGCTCATTGGTTAGCCTCGGTTAGCTCATTGGTTAGCCTCGGTTAGCTCATTGGTTAGCCTCGGTTAGCTCATTGGTTAGCCTCGGTTAGCCTGCCCTGGAACCATATTTAGTTTTAATGTTGATCCTGGTGGACTGATCATATCGGGCTCTCAGACTGCTCATCTGACCTCAGTTCTGATTGAGAGGGAATGTTTGTTCAAACCCTTTGTGTTGTGTCTCATAGTGGTGTGTTGTCTCTTTTAATGAGCCCCACGGTCTCTGAACAAATGAGACACACTGGCTCTGAGCTCCCAGTGGCAGGAGGAACATGAACGAGTCCACTCAGGGTTCAAAGCTCTGTTCTCACTGTCCACGTTCCTCTTCTTGGAGAGCGCCATGTGTCATTATGTGTCTCTCCCTGTCTGCCGCTAACTCGCCTGTTCTCTCTCCTCTCCGCTTCTCTCAGCCGTGCTCTCATTTCTTCTTCTGTGTTTCTCTCCCTGTATCTCTCTCTCCTCTCTTTCGCCCCCTGTCGGCGGCGGTTAAAATAGAATCGCCCCGTCAAAATTGAAATCCCCTATTAATGTATTGATTATAGGTCCGGGTCCGTATAGGTCGGCGTCTGGGTCCGGATCCGGACCGCGGTCCGCCTGTTGCCGACCCCTGATGTATACCATACATCACTTCAGGGGACATTACATTGCATTTCCTGGAGACTTACCCTAACCAAGTCTTCACCCTAAAATTAATGATTCCCCTTATGGGGACCTCCATTATGTCCCCATAAGGGAGGCGAGTCCCCACACGTGACTGTGTAAACAGATGTAGGTCCCCACAAGGATAGTAAAGCTAGGCCACACATACACACACACACACACACTCTGTCCTCTCTTCACCTCCTGCTCCCTGCAGTGAAGAGAAAGATAAACTAATCCCTCTGACCTCAGGAGGGAGGAGAGATAATCCAACATGAAGATAACACCGTTCCTCTTCCTCCTCTTCCTCCTCCTCCCTCCTCCTCCTCCTCCTCCTCCTCCTCCTCCTCCTCCTCCTCCTCCTCCTCCTCCTATATGATCTGATACCTCTTCCTCCTCTGGTTCTGATTGGTTGATTTTCCTCTCAGGCATCAGGGAACCAAGAGGATCCAGACCATGCTGCTCAGCTCCCTCATCATGGTGAGTGCTTTCAAACTGCAAACTGGACTAAAGGCAACATCAAAAAGTGTGTGTGTGTGTGTGTGTGTGTGTGTGTGGTGTGTGTGTGTGGTGGTGTTGTTGGTTGGTGTGTGTGTGTGTGTGTGTGTGTGTGGTGTGTGTGGGTGTTTGTGGTTAGTGTGTGTGTTGTGTGTGATGTGTGTGTTGGTGTGTGTGTGTGTTGTGTGATGTGTGTGTTGTGTGTGTGTGTGGTGTGTGTGTGTTGTGTGGTGTGTTGTGTGTGTTGTGTGTGTGTGTGTGTGTGTGCGTGGTGTGTGTGTGGATGTGTGTGTGTGTGTGTGTGTGTGTGTGTGTGTGTGTTAGGGCTGCTCAATTATCGTATTTTAATCGCGATTACGATTATGGCTTGCAACGATTACGAAAACAACGTAATCGAAATAAAACGATAATTGTTTTATTATTATTATTACTTTTTTTTTTTTTTTTTTCCAGTTGAGTTCTACTTTAAGTTCAGGGTAATCAACTGTTCAAAACATTCTGTTCACATTTTTTTTCTCCAATAAATGGATGTTTTCAAAGTCAATGAATAATCGCATTTAATAATCGCAATTACAATTATTGACCCAAATAATCGAGATTATGATTTTTGCCATAATCGAGCAGCCCTAGTGTGTGTGTCAGATCGGACCCCATGCCTCACGCCTCCATAACTCATCTCCCCTCAGGTGACCTCCTCCTTCAAGTCCAAGTCGATGGCGGCGGCTCTGTCCCCCCCCTTCCTCGACCCTCTGTTCTCCATCTCTCTGATGGAGGACGGAGAGCTGCGTCAGCTGGTTCTGGAGATCCTGCACAACGTCATCGATCGCCACGACAACCGCGCCAAGCTACGCGGCATCAGGTAATAATAATAATACGTTTATTTAGTATAGCACCTTTCACGGAAATAGAATTCACAAAGTGCTTCTATCTATATACCGAGGGTTTGCTTAAGTACACAGGAAGTGGATTTCTGTGTACTTTACTCAGGTTGTACTTGCACTGCCAGAGCAGAAACTTCAAGGCATTAAATGAAGTGTCAGTGGCTCTAACACTGGCTCTAACACTGGCTCTAACACTGGTTACACATAAGTACAGTAGCTGTTGTTATTCTGGCAGTGGTGGGAGAATTGAAAGATTAATTATTCTATAATTAAAAGGCTTTATTGTCATATGCCAAATAGATATAGCATTATTGTTGGCAATGAACATCTGAAGTCCCAGGCTTCTCAACAATGCAACATGTGATGCTTAAGACTTGAAAAACAGAAATAATAATACATTCATTAAATAGTGACATAATGGTTCAAGTGTTCATATCTTTCACAGCTGGAAATCTGTGAATATTATCCACTACAAATAAAAGTCATGCATTTAAACCTTCCTTAAATAAAGTGGATGAGATTGATTAGTAATTGTAGTCAATGTACTTAAAGGGGACCTATCATGCAACAGAGGTCCACTTTAAAGTAAAACATATAGATGGTGCAGTAAAATGTAGTACTTAAATTATTGATAGACAGTCATAAAAAGCCATGATCTGAAAGGTAACTCAAACCCTCTGAGATGTAGTGGAGTAGAAGTTGACCCTAACCCTAACTAAGAGAAACTCTTCACCGACCTGCTACCCTTTTAAATAGACACCTGCCCTTTGGAATCTTTTAGACTTACCCGACCTTGATTTTAGTGGTTTTAGTTTTCCAGTGACATACAGTTCATTTTATACGATTTTACTAACCCGGTGTGCCTTCCTTTATTTTATTATTATTAGTTAATTTTAACACTCCCTTTACTTTTTTAATTAATATTACTGGGGAGATTGTTTTAATTATTGTTATCTTTATCATTGCACTTGTGTTTTAACTGCACTCACACTTCTATGCACGGCTTACTAATAGAACTGGAATCACTTTTAAATTGACCATTTTAGATCCCCTTATAATTTAAGGTATTTTACAGATTCCATTGGGACAAGCTCCGCACACACACACTTAAACACATCGGCACACACACACTTAAACACATCGGCACACACACACACACGCACACGCACACACACACCACACACACACACGCCTCCCTCCAGAGATCCTGGGACGGGGAGATCTACTTTTTAACATACTCTGCCGCCGTTCCGTGGTCCAGCTCCGCTCTGCACTTTTTAACCCCTCTTTTGAAATGGTCTTGTCCTTATGGAGCTTTTATGATGCTTTTAGAAGGGTTTTTATAAGGTTTATGGTTTTTAATGTTTTTGCCAGTGCACTCTGGAGCCCTGCGCTCTTCCCCAACCTAACCTTGGAGTACAACAAATGTGTACATAAGTTCAATCCTTATAATACTTAATGTCACACCCTGCACCCCTGATTTGTGTGTCTCTGTGTTCCAGAATCATTCCTAACGTTGCAGCGCTGAAGATCAAGAGGGAGAAGATCTCCAAGCAAGACGTTGCATTCATGAAGAAGGTAAAACACAACATGACTGTCATCCTGACGTGCCCTTTATATGTAGGACAATATAGGTCAAACTACAGTGTGTTATATTTTAAAGTGGAGGGCTGTGCAGACATGTGCAAAATATAGTCAGAGAGTTGAGCATGAACATGGCTCACAGTGTTAAGAACATGTTCATAACGTAATGCTTAATGTTTGTGGGGTGAAATAAAAGACAGAAACTTCTCAGACCTCTAAACATAACCCCCTTTTCCATCGTCTGTTTAAATGAGAAGTTTTCCCAAAGTCTGGTTGAATGCAGCCTCCATTGTTCACTCTGTTGCACATACTGTTGTTTCTTCACATGAACTACAGTATCTTCTGTGTTCATTGGTAAGACTCGTGCGTTCCCAGAAAGGTTCATATCAACACTTTAACCTGTTCACCCCTGAGCCTGTTCTTCAGGTCTCAGGCTCGAAGATTACATTCCCAGAACAAATGACTATAACTTCTAAAAGGGTTAAATTAATAATCTTTTTTCTCAAAGCAGAACAATATTTTAAAGTAAATTCAGATTGAACATAGTAAAGAAATGTAAATTACAGTGTCCATCGGGGAAAAAAGCATTACTTCAAGTGAAAACCACCCTCGGATGATGGGATAGTAGACTAAAAGCTTTAGGAATCCAAACTATAACATATAATAAGTACCCTGTATCAAGATTGATGCAAAACAAGTGACCTTTGACCTTTTTAGAGAGGTTTAGCACAAAAAAAACACTTTTGGTGTGTATTTGGGTGGATTTGCCATTTCTCTGGAAACCATTGGTCGATGTTGATGATTGACACCTCTTTTGAACCGTTAGAGCCAATAGAATCGAGGGGAAGTTCCTAAATCCATCTAAACATTACCCATTGGTGAATGAGAGTGATGCGCAGCCAGCATGCCCAAAACCGGAAGCTCCGTCACACTCTATATGAAAAATACGATTATTGCCATAAATGTGATGATGGATTATCAGTAATCGTTTCAAAGTGACACAGAGACTCTGGATTAACCCTCAGCAGCGTTGTTATGAGTTGTAATGACATTGAACACAACTTTTGATCAGAAACAGCAAAGGTGGGACTATTTGCCGGTTTGGCTCCTAAAGCTACGTTGTGTGTTGTCTTTCTTGGCTTCGCTGTCCTGAGTTCTGGTCGCACAGTGATGACACTTATACCAATGGAATCTGTGGAACCTCAGCTTTCATATGCGAGTTTGTGCAGATCCGATGAAGTAGACAATATTTCTACCGTGAGTTATGTGCTAAGTTTCGCTTAGCGCTCATTCAGAGGCTCGGTTAGACTTGTGTTTTCTTTCGGTCGGTAAAAATGGTTCATATCGTCAGGTAGCTGAGTTTCTTCCCGTTAGGAGGGTATGACACATTCATAGTTTGTTAAATGTAGCCCTCAGACGCTGTTTCTTGCAAGATGTAGCGGGAGCCCCCCCCCTATTTTTCGGATCAGCACAAACAAGATATCAGATTAAAGCTGAGATTCCACAGATTCTAGAGGTATAAATATCATCACTGAGCGACCAGAGCTCAGGACAGCGAAGCCAGGAAAGACAACACACAACGTAGCTTTAGGTGCCAAAACAGCAAATACGTCTCACCTTTGCTGTTTCTGATCAAAAGTCGTGTTCAATGGCATTAAAACGATAAACGCTGCTGAGGGTTAATCCAGAGTCTCTGAGTCACTTTGAAACGATTACTGATAATCCATCATCATATTTATGGCTATAATTTAGTTTTCAGTTTTCAGAGCGTGGCATAGCTTTCGGTTTGGGCACTCTGTCCTCAATGGTAACGTGTAGGTGGATTTAGGAACTTCCCTCTCGATTCTATTGGCTCTAACGGTTCAAAAGAGGTGTCAATCATCAACATCAACCAATGGGTTCCAGAGATTACATTACATGACATGTTAGACGCTTTTCTCCAAAGCGACTCACATACTCAACACTGAGGACAATCCCCACAGGAGCACTTTGGGGTGAAGAGTCTCAGGGACACAACGACATGCTGACTGCAGTGGGGTTTGAACCTTTGCTCCCCTGATCCCAACACCAACGCACTATCCACTGCGCCACACACCTCCGAGATACGGCAAATGCACCCAAATGACCCCAGAAGTGAGGTTTTTTGTTCTAAATCGCTCTAAAAAGGTCAAATGTCACTTGTTTTGCATCAATCTTGATACAGGGTACTTATTATATGTTATAGTTTGGATTCCTAAAGCTTTTAGTCTCCGATCCCATCATTCAAGGGTGGTTTTCAATATAAGTCATGGTTTTGTTGGACGGACACTATAATTTACATTTTTTTACTATGTTCAATCTGAATTTACTTTAAAATAAAAACATCTATATTGATTCTGACTTTTCTATATCCAACTCACAGGTTTATCATTACTTTGAGAACAAAGATTATTAATGTAACCCTTTTAGAAGATATGGTCATTTGTTCTGGGAATGTCATTTTCCAGCCTGAGACCTGAAAAACAGGCTCGGGGCTTAACAGGTTAATTATTTTAATACGTATATTAGTTTAAATCAGACCCCTTTCCACCCCAGTGATCTTTTCTCTATCTGTTCTCTCCTCTCTCCTTTAGCACGGGCAGCAGCTTTACCGCCACATCTTCCTCGGCTGTAAGGAGGAAGATAACGGTCATAAAAACTTTGAGCTGCTCTTCACCACGCTCGCTGTCCTCACCATCGAACTGGCCAACGAGGAGGTGGTGATCGACCTCATCCGCCTCTCCATCGCTCTGCAGGTACGCTGGGGGGGTAGTTGTGGTTTATACAGAAGCTGCAGCTCTGTGAACCTGCATACTGAGATGCGTTTAAAAATATATGTACAGTATATTCAAGGAAGGGAGGAAGGAAGGAAGGAAGGAGGGAAGGAGGGAGGAAGTGAAACAATGAAAGTAAGGATAGTAGAGAGAGAGGCAGGGAGGGAGGGAAAGAAGGAAGGAAGGAGGGAGGGAAGGGAGAACACATAATGAAAGAAATAAATTAAAGGAAGGATGCATGGAAAGAAGAAATAATGACAGAAAGGAGGGACGGAAGTATAGAAGGATATAGAGAGAAGAGGAAGGAAGGAGGGAATGAAGGAAGTGAAAAAGTATAAGGAAGGAAGTAGAGAGAGAGATGGAGGGAGGGAAGAAAGGAAGGAAGGAAAGAAAGGAAGGAATGATGGAAGGATATACAATCAGAAAGAAAGAATACAAATGAAAGGAAGGAGGAAAAACAAAAACCAAGGAAGGAAGTAATAAACTCATCGTGGTTGGTTTATCTGATGGTGTGTGGTGTGTGTTGTGGTGTGTGTTAAAGTGTGTTCTGGTGTGTGTTGTGGTGTGTGTTAATGGTGTGTGTGTGTGTGTGTGTGTGTGTGTGTGTGTGTGTGTGTGTGTGTGTGTGTGTGTGTGTGTGTGTGTGTGTGTGTGTGTGTGTGTGTGTGTGTGTGTGTGTGTGTGATAATTGATGATTATGATAATTATTATAGCACTTTTCCAATGACATATTAGACATGTAAGTGTTATTACTGTGGACAATATGATGTGTGTGTTGATGTGTGTGTTCTGTGCAGGATATGGCTCTGACTAACGAGGAGAACCTCCCGATGTTGACCCGCTGTGCCGTCCTGGGTCTGGTGGCAGCGTACCTGAACTTCCTGAGTCAGATGATCGCTAACCCGCCATTCTGCCAGCACGTCAGCAAGGTGAGACACACACTCCTTCAGACCTGACCTCAAACTCACACACACTCCTTCAGACCTGACCTCAAACTCACACACACTCCTTCAGACCTGACCTCAAACTCACACACACTCCTTCAGACCTGACTTCAAACTCACACACACTCCTTCAGACCTGACCTCAAACTCACACACACTCCTTCAGACCTGACCTCAAACTCACACACACTCCTTCAGACCTGACTTCAAACTCACACACACTCCTTCAGACCTGACCTCAAACTCACACACACTCCTTCAGACCTGACTTCAAACTCACACATACTCCTTCAGACCTGACCTCAAACTCACACACACTCCTTCAGACCTGACTTCAAACTCACACACACTCCTTCAGACCTGACTTCAAACTCACACACACTCCTTCAGACCTGACCTCAAACTCACACACACTCATTCAGACCTGACCTCAAACTCACACACACTCCTTCAGACCTGACCTCAAACTCACACACACTCCTTCAGACCTGACCTCAAACTCACACACACTCCTTCAGATCTGACTTCAAACTCACACACACTCCTTCAGACCTGACCTCAAACTCACACACACTCCTTCAGACCTGACTTCAAACTCACACACACTCCTTCAGACCTGACCTGAAACTCACACACACTCCTTCAGACCTGACCTCAAACTCACACACACTCCTTCAGACCTGACCTCAAACTCACACACACTCCTTCAGACCTGACCTCAAACTCACACACATTCCTTTAGACCTGACCTCAAACTCACACACACTCCTTCAGACCTGACCTCAAACTCACACACACTCCTTCAGATCTGACCTCAAACTGACACACACTCTTTCGATGCTCCGCAGTTTTTGGCTTTTATCGTCATTTTGATTTCTCTGTCGATGCCTCTGCAGGTGATTGAGCTGAGGACCTTGGATGCTCCGTTCCTCCTGCCAGAGCACGTCTTCAAAGACAAGTGTCCGTACGTATCCTCAGGTTTTCTTTCAGAAACAGAAAAGATCCGATTGATTTAGTTGAATTTCATCACATTTAAAGAACATAAGGGACCTTTTATTACGTTACCCTCCGTTATCCAAGTGCAATAATGCAAATAACATCTAAGTTGTCCGCAGTCATGACATTAAGCTACACATGCAATCAGTAGAAGTGATATCATATTAAATGGAAAGGAAAACTGGGATTCAGGGCCGTGGGAAAACTTCCCCTAAAGTAAAACCTCAACACAAAAATAGCCATTTGTAACTGTCGATTTCGTTGTATTAGAAATTCAGCCTTTAATTTCCCTCCCTCTCTCTCTTGTTGTCCCCAGCCTCCCTGAGTCTCTGGATAAAGAGGACAGACTTCTCTACTTCCAGACCGTCGATATGAGCGAGTGTTTAGCCGGACCGGGGTACAACGCTGAGAGACTTTCCATCCCCTATGTTCCCCAGGTCACAGGTAATGAACTTTCATTAAGTAAACACCAGAGGTGGGAAGTATTGGAGTACAAATACTTCGTTACTGTACTTAAGTACATGTTTCTGGTATCAGTACTTTACTCCACTACTTATTTTTTTGACGAGTTTTTACTTTGACTTTTTACATGTTGAACTCAAATACCTGTACTTTCTACTTCTCACATGTTGAACACAAATACCTGTACTTTCTACTTCTCACATGTTGAACACAAATAACTGTACTTTCTACTTCTTACATGTTGAACACAAATACCTGTACTTTCTACTTCTTACATTTTGAACACAAATACCTGTACTTTCTACTTCTCACATGTTGAACACAAATACCTGTACTTTCTACTTCTTACATATTGAACTCAAATACCTGTACTTTCTACTTCTTACATGTTGAACTCAAATACCTGTACTTTCTACTTCTTACATTTTGAACACAAATACCTGTACTTTCTACTTCTTACATATTGAACTCAAATACCTGTACTTTCTACTTCTTACATGTTGAACTCAAATACCTGTACTTTCTACTTCTTACATATTGAACTCAAATACCTGTACTTTCTACTTCTTACATATTGAACTCAAATACCTGTACTTTCTACTTCTTACATTTTGAACACAAATACCTGTACTTTCTACTTCTTACATATTGAACTCAAATACCTGTACTTTCTACTTCTTACATTTTGAACACGAATACCTGTACTTTCTACTTCTCACATGTTGAACACAAATACCTGTACTTTCTACTTCTCACATGTTGAACACAAATACCTGTACTTTCTACTTCTCACATTTTCCAAACAGGCTGGTTACTTTAGTTTGAATGTTTGGTGGCGTGATCATTATTATTCAGAGTCATTAGGCGCGTTCACACCGGAGTACTTTTCCCGTTTAGTTCCGTTAGTGCCTGGAATTTTACATTCACACCAAAAAGAAAACTTAGTTCCGAGAACTTTTACCCCCATTTTTAGTGCCTGCTAGAGAGGTGGTACTACCCCGGGGAGAAAAAATTACCAATTTCGATTGGCTGGGCGAATTGCATACCACGCCCCGTAAAACTCCCAATAAGTTTTGTGAAGCCGCCATTGTATTTGCTGGCATTAGCATTATTAGCATTAGCCCAGCGCACCAACGGAGAGAGACTAACTTATGGCCACACAAAAAAAAACATGGGAGCGGTGGAGATGAGGAGGTGTCGGCGTTCTGGCGATTTACTCGGAAGGCTTCAGTAGAAGCTGCTGGGAGTCCCAGCAGCTTCTACTGAAGCCTTCCCCAACTCCGGGGACTTCCGGCCGGGGACGTTGGGCGGCAGTATACGCCGTGAAGTGGTTTGCGGCCTGCCAGTAAACCCAAAGCAGAAGAAGAACAAGTGACGTCAGCGGCTTCATTTGCCTAATCCTCCCTCAGGGAACTTATTCCGGTGTGAACGCGATCTGTACTTAGTGCCTTGGGGGTACTTAGTGCTGGGAACTAAGTGCTGGGAACTAAGTACGGCAAAGTACTTGGTGTGAAAGCAGCTATTGCGTGCCTATTGATTTGAACATGATCCGTGTATCCATCATTTCCTGGTCTTCTCTAAAGAAGAGGGACCAATGGAAACGTTGTCATGTTGCCGTTGTTCAGCATGGAAACATTCATTAGCTAACAATGACATTATTGTTCTATTAATATAAAGGGAGGTCAGGTACTCTTTAAAGCAGCTGCTAGTTATGGGTACTTTTTACTGAAGGACATTTCAAAGCCTCTTTACTTTGACCTGAGTCAAGAAGTTTAGTCAGTACTTCTACTTTCACCAGAGTATTTTTAAACACAGGTATCTGTACTTCTACTTGAGTAAAGGATGTGTGTACTGTTGCCTTCTGGTTTAACGTTTAATAAAGACAATCCTCAAGTTAAAATCCACCCAGATGTTTCTTCTCTTCACAGCTTTGATTTTAACCGGTTTATAAAAGTGTATTTTGTCTCGTCTTTAATCTAACAAAGCGTGCTCTTCTTTCCTTCCTCGCCCCGCTCTCCTCTTCCTCAGTGCTTTACACAGTAGGAAAAATCCTGCACAGGTGCAAGCAGACGTCCAGAGGTACAGAGTAGAGATGTGTTCAGACGTATAGATATAGATATATATGGTATAGATGCCACTAGCTGCTGTTCCAGATCCCTCCAGCTGCAGAAATATGTTGTTTTCATACAGCTTTGATAGTTTGTGTTTGACTGTGTTTTGGTTTTAAACCTCTGGAGACAAACCACAATGAAGGAGATGGATTGAAAGAGCACTGCTTTTCTTTTGTGAGAAATATCACAGACTAAAATTGAAGTTATAATTGAAAACTGCACTGCTCTGCGAGATCAGAGATATCCCAGTAATGTCTGTGTGATCATAGATGCTTCTCAAAACAAGGCAGTACTCTTCTACCTTGTTTCTTCACTACATATGAGTACTCTTATATTATTAGTTTATATAATGTGTGTTTTGCACAACAACTTAAGGTTTTTCCACATTTCAGACACAAATGCATTTCAAAGTGCCTTACATAAGCGTTCACACATAAGAGAAAGACCATTTTTAAAAGAGACAGACGATGGTTTAAGATCAGCATTTGAAGAACAGCTGATCCTGCAGGAGGTGCAGAAATAATAATAATATGTTAGATGGATGGATAGATGGATAGAGAGATAGATGGATAGAGAGATAGATGGCTAGATAGATGGATGGATGGATGGCTAGATAGATGGATGGATGGATAGAGAGAGAGAGAGAGAGAACAAACATAGAACATAGACGTTGAGGAATAAACTCTGGAGAAGCAGCGATACACAGAGAAGTTTTCAGCCTCGAGTTTCACAGTAAAGGACAAACATCCGAGTGAAGGGAGGATGGGAAACACACATTCAGACTGAAGCCCTGATCTAGAGAGGGGCTGATTTGACGGTAGCTCATTTTAAACGTAGCTTTAGAGAAGCTGTCACATGCTTTTCTGTGTGAGTTGTGTTCAATGCCATCTTCCAAGTACAGATTCCCAACAGATGAAAGGTGTCCACTTTACAGACACTAAATGTCATCCCTGTAGCTTTCAGTAGTTCCTCTTGTTTCCTGAGTAGCTGTAGCATCAACCTGAACAGAAACAGAACGATTTGATCATTTCACTGTTTTGCCTTCATTACATCTGGAAATGCTGCGGTGAGTATTTCATGTACTGTAGATGACAGAAATAGGTTGTTGAAGATAGCAGTAGTGTGTGTTTCTTGGTGATCTTGGTGTAGAAAGTCATTTTTAAAGGAGTTGAGGATTTAGTGACATCTTGCAGCGACAAACTACATTTCTTTGAACTTGACTTGACTGAAAATATGTACAACAAGGTTCCTCAGAAGTTTATCTCTCTGCAGGATCTGAAGGATTTAGTTGCTTTAAACTAAAACTATCTAAGGACAGAGGGTCTAAGGACAGAGGGTCTGAGGACAGAGGGTCTGAGGACAGAGGGTCTAAGGATAGAGGGTCTGAGGACAGAGGGTCTGAGGACAGAGGGTCTAAGGATAGAGGGTGTCGTTTTTCTCATACTGATATTCTGAACAGTCTGTGCTGTTGTATTTGCTGTAAAGTGTCTCTGCTGTAGGCTGTTTTTATTATATGTACAGCACTTTGGCTCAATAAAAAATCGTTTATAAATGACCTATAAATAAAACTTGATTTGATTTGAAAACATCACAACATGAATCTTGGTTTATGGAAAATGCAGATCTGTGATACTGCTTTTTATCAAGTGGCCTCGAAGAACAAATGAAGTCCTCTTTAAAGTCTGTCAGTTCCTCTCAGAGACATCAGGGTCTGTTTCATTAAAACTGCACGTTGTTGGACTGATGCATGCGGTGAGCTGCTGCTACAACGTAGTGTAAGAAAAATGGTTGAGACTGTTTTTCAAAACCATGCGTCAAAAAAGTGATTAAAATAAATACTTTTTAACTTTTTTTTAATTTAAAAGTCACTATTTATCTCAAGCACAGTTTGAGGGATGAGGGGAAAAAATACATGTTATTATCATTATTTATTATTTATCACCAAAAGCATTTACAAAAAACATTATTAGTATTATTACTATTCTTAGTGAGTGAATGAACAAGATGGTGACGACTAGAAAACAAGATGGTGACGACTAGAAAACAAGATGGTGACGACTAGAAAACAAGATGGTGACGACTAGAAAACAAGATGGTGACGACTAGGAAACAAGATGGTGACGACTAGAAAACAAGATGGTGACGACTAGAAAACAAGATGGTGACGACTAGAAAACAAGATGGTGACGACCAGAAAACAAGATGGTGACGACCAAAAAACAAGATGGTGACGACCAGAAAACAAGATGGTGACGACCAGAAAACAAGATGGTGACGACTAGAAAACAAGATGGTGACGACTAGAAAACAAGATGGTGACGACTAGAAAACAAGATGGTGACGACTAGAAAACAAGATGGTGACGACTAGAAAACAAGATGGTGACGACTAGAAAACAAGATGGTGACGACTAGAAAACAAGATGGTGACGACCAGAAAACAAGATGGTGACGACTAGAAAACAAGATGGTGACGACCAGAAAACAAGATGGTGACGACTAGAAAACAAGATGGTGACGACTAGAAAACAAGATGGTGACGACCAAAAAACAAGATGGTGATGACCAAAAAAACAAGATGGTGACGACTAGAAAACAAGATGGTGACGACTAGAAAACAAGATGGTGACGACTAGAAAACAAGATGGTGACGACTAGAAAACAAGATGGTGACGACCAAAAAACAAGATGGTGACGACCAGAAAACAAGATGGTGACGACTAGAAAACAAGATGGTGACGACCAGAAAACAAGATGGTGACGACCAGAAAACAAGATGGTGACGACTAGAAAACAAGATGGTGACGACTAGAAAACAAGATGGTGACGACTAGAAAACAAGATGGTGACGACTAGAAAACAAGATGGTGACGACCAGAAAACAAGATGGTGACGACTAGAAAACAAGATGGTGACGACTAGAAAACAAGATGGTGACGACTAGAAAACAAGATGGTGACGACTAGAAAACAAGATGGTGACGACTAGAAACCAAGATGGTGACGACCAAAAAACAAGATGGTGACGACCAAAAAACAAGATGGTGACGACTAGAAACCAAGATGGTGACGACAAGAAAACAAGATGGTGACGACTAGAAACCAAGATGGTGACGACCAAAAAACAAGTTGGTGATGACTAAAAAACAAGATTGTGACAACTAGAAACCAAGATGGTGACGACTAAAAAACAAGATGGTGATGACTAGAAACCAAGATGGTGACGACTAGAAACCAAGATGGTGACGACTAAAAAACAAGATGGTGACGACCAGAAACCAAGATGGTGACGACCAGAAAACAAGATGGTGACGACTAGAAAACAAGATGGTGACGACTAGAAAACAAGATGGTGACGACCAGAAAACAAGATGGTGACGACTAGAAAACAAGATGGTGACGACTAGAAAACAAGATGGTGACGACTAGAAAACAAGATGGTGACGACTAGAAAACAAGATGGTGACGATTAGAAAACAAGATGGTGACGACCAAAAAACAAGATGGTGATGACCAAAAAAACAAGATGGTGACGACTAGAAAACAAGATGGTGACGACTAGAAAACAAGATGGTGACGACTAGAAAACAAGATGGTGACGACTAGAAAACAAGATGGTGACGACTAGAAAACAAGATGGTGACGACCAAAAAAACAAGATGGTGACGACCAGAAACCAAGATGGTGACGACTAGAAAACAAGATGGTGACGACTAAAAAACAAGATGGTGATGACTAGAAACCAAGATGGTGACGACCAGAAACCAAGATGGTGACGACCAAAAAACAAGATGGTGACGACCAGAAACCAAGATGGTGACGACTAGAAAACAAGATGGTGACGACTAGAAACCAAGATGGTGACGACTAGAAACCAAGATGGTGACGACCAAAAAACAAGATGGTGACGACCAAACAACAAGATGGTGACGACCAAAAAACAAGATGGTGACGACTAGAAACCAAGATGGTGACGACTAGAAACCAAGATGGTGACGACTAAAAAACAAGATGGTGACGACTCGAAACCAAGATGGTGACGACCAAAAAACAAGATGGTGACGACTAGAAAATATACATGTTAATTTAATTTAGTTATTATATTGTATTCAAGTATTCTAATGTACGACTGCACTTGAAAGCACCATGACCTTCAGAGATACCTAGCGGTGAGAAAAACGTTATTAAATACATTAAAAACGTTTTAAAACCACGTCCCCTCCTCGTTGAAGTGTTGTAGGATACACAAAAAATAGATGTAATCTGTAGAAATATTCTCCTCATGCACTCTGCTGTGCTGCTGATGCTGATATTGTTCTCGCAGTATTAATAAATCAGGGTTTGGAGCTTAATCTGTTCTCCTCTGTCTCTCAGATAAAGACCGGATGACGAGGAGGAAGAGCTACGTGGACACCATCTCTCTGCAGGTGGACATCATCTCCAACATCCTGCCTGACAAGGTCCGTCTCCACGCTATAATTATTAACATTATTAATTATCTTTTATTATTATTTTAAATTACTTTTATTTTATTTGAATTTTGTATGTATTTATTGTATTATTTTTTTGTATTATTGTAAATAATGTTTTTATTACTTTTATACTTTTTTAATGTGTCTGTTCTTTATTATTTTGGCTTTTTCCGTTATTTTTTAATTATTATTTATTTTGTATTGAAGGCCAACAATGACGCATGTGTCTTTATTTTGTTTTCTTTGTGCTGTATGTTACAAAAAACATTTTTTATAAGTCAATAATATTAGTATTTAATTAAAGATGTACCTTTTTTTTCTTTATCCTGCTGATGACTAACAGGAGGGCTTCCTCTGTATAAACTATTCTTTCTTCCCTCCCACTGCTACTAATTGAGTTTGTTTGTCGAATGTTTTAATTGTTTAATTGTTGAAATTGTAGAATTAATAATAAATCAAATAAAAAAATAATTAAAATATAGAAAAACATTTAACAAAAGTTAAAAAGAAGACATTCCCGTAAATAAGATAAGTATTTTTTAAAGTGTATTATTCAGGGTATGTTCATCCTGATGTGTTTAAATCTAATCTGTGTTTTATTTGTATTTCCTTTAGTCCCAGCTGGCCGAGGAGATCACGTTCGAGACGCTGAAGAAAGCCATCGGTGAGTTTCAGAGACGTTTCTGATTAACCCTCCCAGAGTACAAAAAATAAATGTTGACTTTTGTCTGGAGCTCCATCATCCTGGGTTATTGCAATTCCCTTTTACCAGGCTGTCCACACTCATCATGAAAGACTCTTCGATTAAAACAAAATGCTGCAGCACGGGTTTTAACGGGAACAAAGAAAATGGACCAACTTGTCATTTTAATATATTCTCAGATATCTTTGTTGTTTTTACTTTATATCATTCATGCTTGCTGATTTGTGAAGCCCTCTGAGACAAATGTGTGTTGTGATATCGGGCTATATAAATACATTTGAGTTGAATTGAATCCTCCATGTTTGTTGGTCCTCAGACACGACGGGGGTGGAGGAGCAGGAGCGGGAGAAGAGGCGTCAGCTGATGGAAAAGTTCCAGAAAGCTCCGTTTGAAGAGATCGCCGCTCACTGCGAGTCCAAGGTGAGACGAACCAGTACTCAGTTCCGTGAACCACCCTCATACCTCTAATATTGTAGGTTTAAAACGTGCTAGTTAACTATGGCTGATTTCTTCCTGCAGGCGAACTTGTTGCACGACCGTCTGGCTCAGATCTTCGAACTAACCATCAGGTCAGCCATCTTTTTGTTTACTTTTGTTAATACTTGAATTCAGGATTCGATAATACTATCCACGCGTAGCCACGTCGTTTACTAGCTGAACATGGAGAGTAAAGTCATCGTAACACATCTCTGTAGTCGTGTGTGCTTTAAGCTAGGACATTTAAAGAAAAACATGTGTCCCCTCTTCTTCATGTCTCTTCTACATCAACATGTGTCCCCTCTTCTCCATGTCTCTTCTACATCACCATGTGTCCCCTCTTCTCCATGTCTCTTCTACATCAACATGTGTCCCCTCTTCTCCATGTCCCTTCTACATCAACACGTGTCCCCTCTTCTTCATGTCTATTCTACATCACCATGTGGTCCCTCTTCTTCATGTCTCTCTACATCAACATGTGTCCCCTCTTCTCCATGTCTCTTCTACATCAACTGTGTCCCCTCTTCTTCTTCATGTCTCTTCACTCAACATTCCTTTTCTACATCAACATTGTCCCCTCTTCTTCATGTCTCTTCGACTCACATGTGTCCCCCTCTTCTTCATGTCCTCTTCTACATCAACATGTGTCCCCTCTTCTTCATGTCGCTTCTACATCAACATGTGTCCCCTCTTCTTCATGCTCTTCTACAATCAAACAGTGTGCCCCCTCTGTCTTCATGTCTCTCTTCTTACATCAACATGTGTCCCCCTCTTCTTCATGTCTCTTCTACATCACATGTGTCCCCTCTTCTTCATGTCTCTTCTACATCAACATAGTTCCCCTCTTCTCATGTCTCTTCTCATCAACATGTGTCCCCTCTTCTTCATGTCTCTTCTACATCAACATGTCTCCCCTCTTCTTCATGTCTCTTCTACATCACCATGTGCCCCCTCTTCTTCATGTCTCTTCTACATCAACATGTGTCCCCTCTTCTTCATGTCTCTTCTACATCACCATGTGTCCCCTCTTCTTCATGTCTCTTCTACATCAACATGTGTCCCCTCTTCTTCATGTCTCTTCTACATCAACATGTGTCCCCTCTCTTCATGTATCTTCTACATCAACATGTGTCCCCTCTTCTTCATGTCTCTTCTACATCAACATGTGTCCCCTCTTCTTCATGTCTCTTCTACATCACCATTGTGTCCCACTCTTCTTCATGTCTCTTCTACATCAACATGTGTCCCCTCTTCTTCATGTCTCTTCTACATCACCATGTGTCCCCTCTTCTTCATGTCTCTTCTACATCAACATGTGTCCCCTCTTCTCCATGTCTCTTCTACATCAACATGTGTCCCCTCTTCTTCATGTCTCTTCCACATCAACATGTGTCCCCTCTTCTTCATGTCTCTTCTACATCAACATGTGTCCCCTCTTCTTCATGTCTCTTCTACATCAACATGTGTCCCCTCTTATTCATGTCTCTTCTACATCAACATGTGTCCCCTCTTCTTCATGTCTCTTCTACATCACCATGTGTCCCCTCTTCTTCATGTCTCTTCTACATCAACATGTGTCCTCTCTTCTTCATGTCTCTTCTACATCAACATGTGTCCCCTCTTCTTCATGTCTCTTCTACATCAACATGTGTCCCCTCTTCTTCATGCCTCTTCTACATCAACATGTGTCCCCTCTTCTTCATGTCTCTTCTACATCAACATGTGTCCCCTCTTCTTCATGTCTCTTCTACATCAACACGTGTCCTCTCTTCTTCATGTCTCTTCTACATCAACTCTGTGGAAAGAGACTCTGAAAGATTCTCTCTCTTTTTGATCCATTTCTATAAAAACCTGTCTGAAAATGAGCTGATCAGATTTTCGTCACTTTATGATGTCATAACGATGTTTTGTCTTGTGTAATCAAGCAACCAAGGTAACCCCCCCCCCCTTATCACCTGAATCTCCTCCTAGAGCTCCATTGAGTTCTTTGTAACCAAATGTCTCTCAGAGGGGCGTGGGGAGGGGCTCCTTATTTTCATCTAAAGTAACAGACAGAGAATCAGCACTTTGGAAACAGGGCTGAAACAGAGGGGATTATGGGTAATGCTGCAATGATCTGTTTGGTGTTTCAGCCAATCAGAGACAGGCTCTGGATATATCTGAGACCTGTGATATATTGATGAAGACGAGTAGAATAGGAGACCTTTAAAGGTTCAGGAAGCCATTTATTCCCGAGTGGATCTTCCGTGAGTTTAAGCTACTTCTATAACGTTCCCCCCTCTCTCCTCCACAGACCCCCCCCCAGCCCTTCAGGGGTCGTCTCCATTTCCTCCGGACACAATCAGTCCGTCCCCGTCTACGAGATGAAGTTCCCCGACCTGTGTGTGTACTGATCACACACACACACACACACACACACACACACACACACACACACACACACACACACACACACAGTGATATATCAGCAAACTGCTAGGAAGAACTACACACTCTGCACTGTCGTTTCCTCAGACCAGCACAGTGTCGCACAAAATGCAGAAAAAAACTTTAATCTGAAAATCCAAACAAAGCTCAGTTTATAACCTCCAGTTAGTTCAACAGCCTTTTAATTGAAAACGGTACAAAAAATAACACAATTCTGTTAAAATCTACTTTAAAAACTTGGATTTTCTGATTGCTGATTTTCTGCATTTTGTTGCCTGAAGCTAAACTAATAATAAGAGTCACGAAGAACAAACTAAAGCCACCATCTTCCACTCCTTAGTGTTTAGATGCTGACACATGCCACTATCAAAGGCTTCCCACCTTGTACATACGCTGTAGGGTAAATCAATCGCTCGCTACACGGATAGAACCACTTTAAAGCTTAAACACGTGCGTCTAGTGTTAGCTGTGATGCTAACTCAGAGCCAGCTTCTGTTCTCATGTCTCTCAAATAAAGCTAAATGTTAAATATATCAGTTATCAGAACTGAATGAACGTGTGCTAGAAGGTAGATTAGATCTTAAGCTCTTAAAGGTAACCCAAGCACCTGAAACGGGCTTCAAGACGCAGCTAAGTTTCACGAGAGGAAACTGAAATCGAGAGCAATACTAAAGACGTGGTGAGAAAGTGTTCAGGACAGACGGCTCGCTCATAGTTGGTGATTTCCCTCGTTCTGTAGTGTTGTAGGTTTTAGTGCATGTCAATGGTCTGAAAGGGCAAACTAAAGGTCTGGAAAATATCACTTTGGAACCCTTGCGCTCCTATTGGCTAGCGCTTCAACACATTGTACTTGATAGGCTAAGGGGCGGGACATCTATAAGTGGTTGACCAATCACAACAGAGCGAAACAATTATGAAAAAGGTGCAGAAAGAAAAAAAATCCTGTTGATTTTTCTTTCAAACTTTGATCCTAAATCCACCGAAAGATGATTTTTAGGTGACGGAAAGTTACATTCGGGTCCTGTTGCACGTTTAGTACATAATGAAATAGTGAAAGATGGAAAGTGAGTGAAGGAGACGAGGAAGAGGCCGTTTGTGTCGGGATGTTTGTGATTTGATCGAGTACGTTTCAGATGGTTTGGGAAGTTAAAGGATGTGGAATCACCAACATGAGCTGAAGCGTTTGATCTCTAACAGGAAGTCAGTCTTCTTCAGGATCAGCTTGAGAGTCTGTTTCCACCTGGTGTGAAATCATCTGTATCTGTACGCCTCACCCCGATCAGGAGCAATACATGTGACTGCTGCAGAGCACACTTTGCAGTCCCAGCTGTTTGACCACTGCCATGCTTTTCCATCATGAAACTCTTCTGGCTTCACAACATGAGCTGGACTAATATGCACGTCTGAGGCTCCTAAATGTTGATGATGCATGATGGGAAAGTGTGCATCGTGCAAGCTGATTGGCTCTTTAATATGGGGGTAACAGAAAACAACAACAAGAACCTTTTCAATTGACACAAGAAGATTTGACAGCTTTTACAAGTAACATTTTACAGTTCATCTCAAATGAAGTGTTCCATGTAGTGTCAGCGAAGTCCTCAGTCAGGCAGACAGCAGGCCTTCGTTTCAGAGCCATTAACGTCGCTAAAAAGCCTAAATAATCTTGTTGAAAACGTGTGGAAATCAAACTACAATCCCATATTATTTACAGACTTGCTTCGTCCGACACATGATAGATACACATTATAATTATTGCTACAATTAATGTGAGAAACCCACTTCTTCGCAGAGTCAAAGTCCAGTAACAGTGTGTGAACATCCATGGGGTCTTTTGCCAAAACTGTAAAGAAATAAAGGCAAAAATACCAGGAAATAAGGCCTTTAAAAGTCATTTAACATCCAATGTGGTCCATTTAGAAGTCAGAGAAGGAGTCCCTTTGGAGCTGGAGTTCAAATGAATAAAAGCACGACAGTTAAAAGTTGGGTTTCATAGTTACATCTCAAATTAGATCTGGTCCGATAGTCGTCACATGACCCTTATCTTAACTCTTCACCTAAATGCAGCGTGGAGATCATGTTTCAGCTTTTAAAGGTTGAGTTTATCGCTTAAAAAGCAATGCATTTTGATGCTTTTGCTTTAAAAACGAGTGTTTCTGACTCTCCTGATCAGCGGGGTGTAGTTGCATTAAAGAGCAGGATTATCGTAGGACAGACGCCTCTAAAAGATGATTTTCACACTTAATTTCTAACCAAATTTGGTCGGTTTCCAAGCAATAAAGTAGTCCCTCTTTGGCTGATTTGAAAATGGATGTTTGTGGTCGGATTGTGCTTCAGATACAGATGTGTGTTTAAAACCAGGTTCAAACAGTCTTTGTTCTGCAGACGAAGCTAAATAAACGTATGAGTGGTTTGAAGTGAGTTTACCTGCAGAGTCCTCCAACAGAGTCCTCCAACGTGAGAAAGCGCGGAGGCGGAGCTATGAGCCTCAAATAAGTGAAGAAAGCCTTTTGTATTCCCCGTGTATAAAGCCCGTCCTCCACGACGCATCAAAGTGATTCTATCTTTTAGAAATCCACGCTGCTTACCGTCACAGCACTACGTTAAAAACATGCATCATGTGAACCAGCTAACATATCACGCTAACTTTCAAATCCGACTTTTCTCCGAGGTGATCACAAAGGAGCCAGCGCAGTGCACACGTCACTGATTTCACTCTGGAGGAAAGTCCGACTGGTTTTAGCTATAGAGTTATTTCTTTAGGAATGTGTCATTAAAGCGGTGTTTCATATATATTTTTGTACATGTTATGCATCACGTGCGGTCACGCTGTTGCCGGGTAGAGATTTAGAGAGATTTATTCTGCAGATCACATTCATCCAGATGACGATGAACGCTGATCTGTTTTTATTTTACATGACATGTGTTTGTTGTTTATTGAAGATGACGGTTCAGGGTTTCAATGGGATGGTGGGAGAAAAGATCCCATTCATGCTTCCTTTCTTTGTCGGATCCATCGCATCATTTCAAAATGCTGACTCGCTATATTATATCTATGGGCACTTATTTTTGCCGGAAGTAAATCTGTGCTTATTTTAGCATTTCAATTGTGTTTTCTTGCACGGAAGTTGCAGCTCCAGATGTCAAAGTATTCAATATTAAAGCTTTAAATTCACTTAATTTTGCAAAGACAGTTTCACTATTCTGCTCACGAGGAAATGTCTGTGTTTTTAAAAAACGACTTTATTTAAAAAGAGAACGGACATTTCTTAAAACTGCTTTCAGCTTTGTGTTTATTTTCCAGCGGCTCCAGGATTCACATGATCTGTAAATGCATTTAGAGTTATAAGGTTTATTTCAGAGCCGTTTGTGTCCTTTCAATGCAAAAACAATTCAGTGCCCGTTGTTTAATCCGACAGATATTTAGAGTTAGTTGCACGATAAATACTTAGCTCAGAAAGATCAAAGTTCTGCTCTGTTCAATTGGCTGAAATCTGAATCTGACACCGTCTCTAATTGAGTGAATCTGAGCTGCAACTTCTAGTCAGTAAAATAAAAAAGGTGTAATAATAATAAAGTATAAATCAGTCTGTGAATGTACTTTTGATAAAGCACACTTGGCTCATTTAGACGGTGTGCAATGTGTTGATGAAATGAGATGCTGAACATTAAGCGTCATAATGAAATATGGTGTTTGCACTTTGATCACTGTGTTCTGGTACTATAGCAAAATAAATCGCACAGATTCATGTCGGTACGGTTTGATCATTCGAGGTATTTTCTCCCATATCGTTCAGTCTGTTGTATCCATGAAGAAATAATAAAGAATAACAACGACGAAAAAAATCTGTTCTTACGAGTCATTGAAGTTATTTTTGAAGGTTTTCCTTCTCCTGTGGTGTGTTTTATGTTTTAAAGGTTTCAGTGCATGTAAATGGTCTGCTAAGGCTAAAATCTCAAGTTCCGGACATAGTGACATCACTACCTAACACTCATGCTCCTATTGGCTATCGCTCCACACATTGTACGTGAAAGGCTTCTCAAAATTCGGACTTTTTACTGAAAATATCCAAATTACTCCAAATTATGATTTTATTTTTCTGAAAATCACTAAATGATGACTTTTTCTAAAAATCTCAAAATTATGCAAAGGCTAAAATCCCAAAGTTCCGGACATAGTGACATCACTACCTAACTCTCATGCTCCTATTGGCTATCGCTCCAACACATTGTACGTGTACTTTTTTTTTTAAGATTTCAAAATTATGACTTTTTCTAAAAGTTTCAAAATTATGATTTTTTACTGAAAATCTCAAAATGTAGACTTTTTACTCAAGATCTCAAAATTATCACTTTTTTTTCTGAAAATCTCAAAATGTTGTATTTTTTCTGAAGATCTCCAAATTATCACTTTTTAAAAATCTCAAAATTATGATTTTCTTCTGAAAATCACAAAGTATTTTAGAGCGCAGATAAAAAATAATGTGTTTTTTCTCTGGGAAGTTCCACTGTTGAGGCTGAAGTCATAATATTCTTCATATCAATTGGTGATCAAATTAAATATTTTTCTATCAACACTCAACATTTATAACGTCTTTGTTTCTGTTAGAGTTTGAAGGGAAATGCCACAGCTTTTATTTAGTTCATTTTTTTATTAAAATCATGTGAAGAAAACCTGAAAATCAAAGTAAACATTTGATTTGAACATATTTTTCTGAAATGTACAACTTGTAATCGTCAACAAAACCCTCTGAAAAACATAATCATAATTATTCCCAAAGCTGCCGTTAGAAGAGAGAAACACTTCTAGATTCCCTCTTCCTCTTCTTCTCCTCCCCCCTCCTCCTCTTCCTCTTCCTATCCTTCATCTTCTTCTCCTCCCTCCTCCTCTTCCTCTTTCCCCGCTGGTTTCCACGCCGGTCGCTGCGCTGTGATTGGCTGTTGGTTGCTGTTCTGTCCTGTGATTGGCCGGTGGTTGTGTGACGGCGGTGCTTTGCTCTCTCCACTGGATGGAGGAAGAGTAGTGAAAGAAAAAAAATGAGGAAGATGAGGAGGATTCTTCGGCTTCTCTTCTTGCTTCATGTTCCAGTTTTCATCGCTGCAGAGAAAAAGGTTTTGAACATTTATTAGAACAAGTTCCTTGACAGTGAGTCTCACACAACATGGTACGCAGATACAATATCATATCATTATATACAACAACAAATATATATATATAACATAATCAAAAAGTACAATATATAATAGTAATTATCAACAAAGCATAATAAATATAACAAATACAGAGTCCAATTAGAGCATGGGTCGGCAACAGGCGGCCATTAGCGGCCCGCCAGCAATAATATAAAATATTATTTTGAGATTTTTTATTTTTTTTGTATTGGACCGACAGTCGCACATATAGGCTATAATGTCCGAACAGAGAATCTACCTCCACTTGAAGAATGCTTATTGTTGTATCCATGTTGAGAGTGAATGACACAGCACAGGCACAATCTGGCAGCGGGTGCACTGACGCTGATAATGGATCAATAGGTGGACAGCGCGTGGTGTGTGGTTTGAAACAAATAACACCAGCTCACTAAATCATTCAAACTTAATGTTTACTTAGGATATCAAAACATTGACAACCAAATCGGAGAAGCCGCTTGATCATGGAGGGCGAGGGGTGGCGGTGCATATGCTGCCACCCCAGCTGGCAGCTTAGTTTTGAAAGAAAGGTTTTGGCTCATCGGACATTTATGAGAGAAAATCCCTAATGTCCGAGTGCAAGTGAACGCAGCACAAGCCGCGAGCCTTGTAACCCCTCCCCCGGAGCTGGCGCGAGCGAGGAAAAGTGATTGACGGCGATTTCATTTGAACGGGACGACGCAAAACGAGCAGCAATTTAAAAGATAAGTCTGTTCAAATACAGATAATAGCCCTGGCTTTTAACATGGGACTGGAATGGGGCGAGAGAGGACGAGCCTCCCTTTGGGCGGGTCCAGCCAGAGGCTCTGGCCTTTGATTATGTTCTGGCCCGCCATCTAGTGGCTCAGAAAGAAATTGTCCCAAGGCGAAACTTACTTGCCGACCCCTGAATTAGAGGCTTCCACCTTACAACAGGTGACCATCTCTCTAAACACACTTCCATCTTGAGGTATTTTTACGTAAAAAACTGAGTTATTTCATGCGTTTCAGGAGTTTCACGAATAATAGGTCTATTTAGAACAAACTAAAAGGAGTGCACAGTATTTGCAGAAAACACCAGAAGAACTGAGAAGATCATCGTCATGGGAACCGTTGTGTTTAAGGCATGTTTCTTTGTTTAACTCACATTAAACATCGCAGAGACTCTGAACTAACGTCAACATGTGAAGCTGAATAAGAACACGCATTAAGAGAAGATGGAGCTTTATTAAATGCAGTAGTTCAAAAAGCAACAGGGTGAGACTAAAAGCACAGATTCACACAACATGAAGACAAAGATACAATTACAATGATACAGGTAAGAAACTGTTACAATAACAAATGAATGAAATGAACATGTATATATATTTGAGTCATATATACATATTCAATATATGTACATGTCTGTATGCTGGTTATTGTGAAAACAGCGTGTATTTGATGTAGAGTACTTGTGTTACCCGGACATTCCTTCATAACTCTACTTATATTACCCAATTCATCTCAATGTTACTATAGAAGTCTCAACCTTTTGATCCTCAGGTTCGATCCCACCTAGCGTCCAATCAGTAACGATGCAGTATTACATCTGAGGCAGATCAGCGTCAGCTTCTCAGCATCCACAGCTCAACTTCTTCAGGAAGTAGTTCAGATCGTGAGGGGTGTGGTTTCAGAGGACTTGTTTCTTTCATTTGGCGGCTCCTCCTCCTCCTCCTCCTCCTCCTCCTCCTCCTCCTCCTCCTCCTCCTCCTCCTCCTCCTCCTCCTCCTCCTCCTCCTCCTCCTCCTCCTCCTCCTCCTCCTCCTCCTCCTCCTCCTCCTCCTCCTCCTCAAATAACATGTGTTGGCAGCATACTTTGTTTAAAAGGAATAAACATGTTTGTTAAGGTTCAGTCTGACTCCCTCGGATATTGGTTGTTGTGTGTTACTACTTCTATTATATTTTATCTGTGTTGTTGTGTTGCTCTGTTGGAGGGGCCTGTGAGCTCATTGATATATCTACACTGTAGCTCTGAACCAATGACATTAAAAGCCTTGAATCTACTGTCCTCAGGTCCCCTCGACCTTAGTGGGGACGCAACTTCTTCAAGAATTGCATTGTTTTGTTTTAACTGAGAGAAAGAACATTACGATGTGACCGCTCACCTGTGCTGGCCTCTTGGAGGTGGAGGAGTCGTGTTTTTATCCGTAGATGTCTCCCGACCTCCTTCAGGTTTCTCCCTGATGACGTCATCAGAGTTTCCTCCCTGGCTCTCCTCACTCTCCTCGCTCTCCTCGCTGGACTGAGATGAAAGCCGTGGGTTGGGGGGCCGCGTGGGCCGCCGGCAGGGGGGCTCGGGTCCTCGGCACTGAGCCGCGGGGAGGCTGTGGTTAAAGTGAGCGAACGCCATACACTCCGCTGTGGTTTTATCACACACACACTGCAGTTTATCACACACACTCACGCCCTGACCTGAGGAGAGACGAGTCGTTGAGTCAGGTTTCATTATTGATCATGTTCAACTTGTTTCAATATAAGAAGCAGTGTAGAAGAAGTACTCAGATCCTTGGCGTAAGTAAAAGCAGCAGTAGTTATAGGTAAAAGTACTGTACTTAAGTACATATTTGAGGTACTTTTTCTATCGTTACACTTTAAAGGTCTCCTATTTTACTGTTTTTAGGCATATAGCATAGCTCTCAGATACATACAAATCTATAAAAAACATGTCTATGAAGTGTTTTGCTCAAAATACCAAACAGATCAACCATTCTAGCCTCATCCCCCTCTATTTCAGCCCTGTTACTAAAGTGCTGATTCTGGGTCTGTAGCTTAATTCTCAGCTACATTCTGCCGTGATGAAACTCCATATCATGTTCCAAACCACATCAAGGATTCTCTCTGAAACAGTATGGAGCTCAAACTCTTTCTCTCTCTCAGGTTTACCACCAGGTGAGTTCCTTTTTTAAATGCTTGCTTCTTTACACATGCTCTCTCCGGAACAGGTTAGCTCTGAGTGTTAGCGATGCTTGCTAATGTAAACAAAGACCATATTTAGTCCAAAACACGTCACACATTGTATTCATATTTATGTATAAAAGACATCACAAAGTGCATTTTGTATAATAGGTGACCTTTAAGTAAGAGCAGCAATAGATATAGGTAAAAGTACTGTACCTAAGTACATATTTTAGGTACTTTACTCAAGTATTTTCCTATCATTACACTTTAAACAATGCAGGACTTTTGCAAAAGAGTCTTTCTATTGCGTGGTATAAGTACTTTTACTTCGGTAAAGGATAAATTAATACCGTAACACAGGGGGGTCAAACTCAAGACTTAATTTTATGTGGCCCCGCAAGAGCTTGCAAAGTATATAATACGTTTATTATATGGTTACATGCCACTTTACAGAAGCATGTTAAACTACATGTCCCACAATGCATCTTGTTTTGTGACATGCGCACTGAAGAGACTTGCAATTATTTTCTGCTTTCAGACGTAGTTATGAAGTCATTACCCTATCCGATAATAATCCAATGCAGAGGCAATAATGTCATATAATACATTATTTTATATATATTTATATATGTATAATTAAAAAGTCTTGAAGTTACAACCTGCCCTTTGTGTGCAACCATAATGGTGATGTGGCCCACGATGAAATCGAGTTTGACCCCCTGTTTTAAACAATGAAGGACTTTTGCAAAAGAGTCTACAGCGTGGGATTAGTACTTTTACTTCAGTAAAGGATCTGAATACTGTAACATATTAAAGTAGTTCCTTTACTCACAGCGAGGCTTCCCCCCCTCACAGGAAACCTGAGCGCTGAGCTTCCTCTCCGGACTGCAGCCCACCGAGCTGATCTGCTTCAGACAGCAGTGATGGAAGAAGCAGCACCTGAGAAAGAGTCATAAAAAAGTAATATCAACGGCACATTTATTAGGGGTTTTTGGTTTTTTTTGGACTCATTCCTGCAGCTCTCACACTGTAATATATACATATATAAATACGCAGATGACACAACAATAACAGGACTCATCTCAAATAATAATGAAACACAATACCTCACTCAGATCCATCAAGCAGTCACCTGGTGCTCAGAAAACAACCTCCTACTTAACACAGCAAAAACCCAAGAAATAATCATCGACTTCAGGCGAAAGCCACAGCCCAAATCACCTCTATCTATCTCCGGCAAACTCATTTCCACAGAATCACTCAAATTTCTTGGCACTCACATAAGCAATAACCTCAAATGGAAGACCAACACAGACCACATCTACAAAAAAGCCAACCAAAGGCTATTCTTTCTGCGGCAGCTCAAGAAATACAGAGTGAGGAAACATCTAATAATCCAGTTCTACACAGCCATCATCCAAAGCATCCTCACATCATCCATCACAGTCTGGTACAGCAGTTCAGACAACCTCTCCCGGAGTAAACTTCAACGTATCATCAATAAAGCATCAAAAATCACCTGCAGTCCCCTTCCATCACTCGAATCACTTCACCACCAACGAACTGTCACAAGGGCAAAGAAAATCATTTCTGACCCCTCCCACCCAGGTCACCATGTCTTCCAACTTCTGCCCTCAGGGAGGCGCTACAGGTCACTGTCCGCCAAAACCGCCCGCTTCAAAAACAGCTTTTTCCCCTTTGCAATACGGACACTAAATGGACTCTAAATAACCCCAATGAACAATAACAATCCACCACACCTTGAACTTTATGTTATGATATGTCTTTGCCCTGTGCTGTGTGTTGTACTTTTTATTGTCTGTTTATTGTATGTTGAATTGTATGGAACAAGCTGTAATACTCTGCACTGAACACGAATTCCCCCAGCCTGGCTGTGTGGTCATTAAAGATTCTAAAGTTAGTTCATTAACACCCTTTTGGGGTTTTCGGACTCATTCCTGCAGTGTAAAGTTGGTTTCTTGCAGTTTGTTTCTGTTTATTAACACTGCCGCCCCCTCCTCACCTGTCCAGCTGGTCCTGAGGCTGCCCCCCCCTTCCTTCCTGTCCACAGTAGCAGCCGTACATCTCGTACTCGTGGGGGCATCGTCCGGTCAGACAGTGAAGCATTTCCCCCAGAGCAGGAAGGTCCCGATTGGCCGCCCCCCCGCTGCCGTACAGCGTGAAGGAGTGGCTGCACTCTGAGGGGGATGATGTGAAAAAAACTCAACTTAAAGTGTCCTTTTAGAGAGAAATGAGGCCAAAGACATGCAGTTCCTCTGGCATACCTTTGCTGTCCGGCTGCAGCGGGACGTCAGTCAGACCGATGGACTCCAGCAGAGACCAGGCGAAGAATGGCATCGTCCTCTTCCTCACCTCCAAGTCTGCAGACAGAGAAACAGTCAGGATAAACTTCACTTAATGCAGCATCAGAAGACAGGATGACTAGAAGAAGACCAGAAGAAGAGCAGAAGAACCCGAACAAAAAAACAGAAGAACCAGAAGAATCAGAAGAACCAGAAGAATCAGAAGAATCAGAAGAACTAGAAGAACCAGAAGAACCAGAAGAACTAGAAGAATCAGAACAACCAGACGAACCAGAAGAACTAGAAGAATCAGAACAACCAGACGAACCAGAAGAACTAGAAGAATCAGAACAACCAGACGAACCAGAAGAACTAGAAAAACCGGAAGAACCAGAAGAACTAGAAGAATCAGAAGAACCAGAAGAACCAGAAGAACCAGAAGAACTAGAAGAACCAGAAGATTCCAGAAGAACTAGAAGAACCAGAAGAATCAGAAGAATCAGAAGAACTAGAAGAATCAGAAGAATCAGAAGAACCAGAAGAATCAGAAGAACTAGAAGAACCAGAAGAACTAGAAGAACCAGAAGAACCAGAAGAATCAGAAGAACCAGAAGAATCAGAAGAACTAGAAGAACCAGAAGAACTAGAAGAACCAGAAGAACCAGAAGAATCAGAAGAATCAGAAGAACCAGAAGAATCAGAAGAACTAGAAGAATCAGAAGAACTAGAAGAACCAGAAGAACTAGAAGAACCAGAAGAATCAGTAGAACCAGAAGAATCAGAAGAACTAGAAGAACCAGAAGAACTAGAAGAACCAGAAGAACCAGAAGAACTAGAAGAACCAGAAGAACTAGAAGAACCAGAAGAACTAGAAGAATCAGAAGAATCAGAAGAACCAGAAGAATCAGAAGAACTAGAAGAACCAGAAGAACTAGAAGAACCAGAAGAACCAGAAGAATCAGAAGAACTAGAAGAACCAGAAGAACTAGAAGAACCAGAAGAACCAGAAGAATCAGAAGAATCAGAAGAACCAGAAGAATCAGAAGAACTAGAAGAATCAGAAGAACTAGAAGAACCAGAAGAACTAGAAGAACCAGAAGAACCAGAAGAACCAGAAGAATCAGAAGAACCAGAAGAATCAGAAGAACTAGAAGAACCAGAAGAACTAGAAGAACCAGAAGAACCAGAAGAACCAGAAGAATCAGAAGAACTAGAAGAACCAGAAGAACTAGAAGAACCAGAAGAACCAGAAGAATCAGAAGAATCAGAAGAACCAGAAGAATCAGAAGAACTAGAAGAATCAGAAGAACTAGAAGAACCAGAAGAACTAGAAGAACCAGAAGAATCAGAAGAATCAGAAGAATCAGAAGAACCAGAAGAATCAGAAGAACTAGAAGAACTAGAAGAATCAGAAGAATCAGAAGAACCAGAAGAACTAGAAGAATCAGAAGAATCAGAAGAACTAGAAGAACTAGAAGAACCAGAAGAATCAGAAGAACTAGAAGAACTAGAAGAATCAGAAGAATCAGAAGAACCAGAAGAACTAGAAGAATCAGAATAACTAGAAGAACCAGAAGAATCAGAAGAACCAGAAGAACCAGAAGAACTAGAAGAATCAGAATAACTAGAAGAACCAGAAGAATCAGAAGAACCAGAAGAACTAGAAGAATCAGAAGAACTAGAAGAACCAGAAGAACCAGAAGAATCAGAAGAACCAGAAGAACCAGAAGAACCAGAAGAACAAGAGGAACCAGAAGAACCAGAAGAACCAGAAGAACAAGAGGAACCAGAAGAACCAGAAGAACCAGAAGAACCAGAAGAACAAGAGGAACCAGAAGAACCAGAAGAACCAGAAGAACAAGAGGAACCAGAAGAACGAGAAGAACCAGAAGAACGAGAAGAATCAGAAGAACCAGAAGAACCAGAACAATCAGAAGAACCAGAAGAATCAGAAGAACTAGAAGAACCAGAAGAATCAGAAGAACTAGAAGAATCAGAAGAACTAGAAGAACCAGAAGAACCAGAAGAATCAGAAGAACCAGAAGAATCAGAAGAACTAGAAGAACCAGAAGAATCAGAAGAATCAGAAGAATCAGAAGAACCAGAATAACTAGAAGAACCAGAAGAACCAGAAGAACTAGAAGAACCAGAAGAACCAGAAGAATCAGAAGAACCAGAAGAATCAGAAGAACTAGAATAATCTGAAGAATCAGAAGAACCAGAAGAACCAGAAGAACCAGAAGAACCAGAAGAACTAGAAGAATCAGAAGAACCAGAAGAACTAGAAGAACCAGAAGAACCAGAAGAACTAGAAGAACCAGAAGAACCAGAAGAATCAGAAGAACCAGAAGAATCAGAAGAACTAGAATAATCTGAAGAATCAGAAGAACCAGAAGAACCAGAAGAACCAGAAGAACTAGAAGAATCAGAAGAACCAGAAGAACTAGAAGAATCAGAAGAACCAGAAGAACCAGAAGAACTAGAAGAATCAGAATAACTAGAAGAACCAGAAGAATCAGAAGAACTAGAATAATCTGAAGAATCAGAAGAACCAGAAGAACCAGAAGAACCAGAAGAACCAGAAGAACTAGAAGAATCAGAAGAACCAGAAGAACCAGAAGAACTAGAAGAATCAGAATAACTAGAAGAACCAGAAGAATCAGAAGAACTAGAATAATCTGAAGAATCAGAAGAATCAGAAGAACTAGAAGAACCAGAAGAACCAGAAGAATCAGAAGAACCAGAATAACTAGAAGAACCAGAAGAATCAGAAGAACCAGAATAACTAGAAGAATCAGAAGAATCAGAAGAACCAGAAGAACTAGAAGAACCAGAACAATCAGAAGAACTAGAAGAACCAGAAGAATCAGAAGAACTAGAAGAATCAGAAGAACTAGAAGAACCAGAAGAATCAGAAGAACTAGAAGAACTAGAAGAACCAGAACAATCAGAAGAACCAGAAGAACCAGAACAATCAGAAGAACCAGAAGAATCAGAAGAACTAGAAGAACCAGAAGAATCAGAAGAACTAGAAGAATCAGAAGAACTAGAAGAACCAGAAGAACCAGAAGAACTAGAAGAACCAGAAGAATCAGAAGAACCAGAAGAACCAGAAGAATCAGAAGAACCAGAAGAATCAGAAGAACCAGAAGAACTAGAAGAATCAGAACAACCAGACGAACCAGAAGAACCAGAAGAACTAGAAGAACCAGAAGAATCAGAAGAACCAGAAGAACCAGAAGAACTAGAAGAACCAGAAGAATCAGAAGAACCAGAAGAACTAGAAGAATCAGAAGAACCAGAAGAATCAGAAGAATCAGAAGAACCAGAAGAATCAGAAGAACCAGAAGAACTAGAAGAATCAGAACAACCAGACGAACCAGAAGAACCAGAATAATTAGAATAATCAGAAGAATCAGAAGAACCAGAAGAATCAGAAGAACCAGAAGAACTAGAAGAACCAGAAGAATCAGAAGAACCAGAAGAATCAGAAGAATCAGAAGAACCAGAAGAACTAGAAGAATCAGAATAACCAGAAGAATCAGAAGAACTAGAAGAATCAGAAGAATCAGAAGAACTAGAAGAACCAGAAGAACCAGAAGAATCAGAAGAACTAGAAGAACCAGAAGAATCAGAAGAATCAGAAGAATCAGAAGAACCAGAACAACCAGACGAACCAGAAGAACCAGAAGAATCAGAAGAACTAGAAGAATCAGAATAACCAGAAGAATCAGAAGAACTAGAAGAATCAGAAGAACTAGAAGAATCAGAAGAACCAGAAGAACTAGAAGAACTAGAAGAACCAGAAGATTCCAGAAGAACCAGAAGAATCAGAAGAACTAGAAGAATCAGAAGAACCAGAAGAATCAGAAGAACTAGAAGAATCAGAAGAACTAGAAGAATCAGAAGAACCAGAAGAATCAGAAGAACTAGAAGAATCAGAAGATTCCAGAAGAACCAGAAGAATCAGAAGAACTAGAAGAATCAGAAGAACCAGAAGAATCAGAAGAACTAGAAGAATCAGAAGAACCAGAAGAATCAGAAGAACTAGAAGAACCAGAAGAACTAGAAGAATCAGAAGAACCAGAATAATCAGAAGAATCAGAAGAACCAGAAGAATCAGAAGAACCAGAAGAACTAGAAGAACCAGAAGAATCAGAAGAACCAGAAGAACCAGAAGAACTAGAAGAATCAGAAGAACCAGAAGAATCAGAAGAACTAGAAGAACCAGAAGAACCAGAAGAATCAGAAGAACCAGAAGAACTAGAAGAACCAGAAGAATCAGAAGAATCAGAAGAACCAGAAGAATCAGAAGAACCAGAAGAACCAGAAGAATCAGAAGAACTAGAAGAATCAGAAGAACCAGAAGAATCAGAAGAATCAGAAGAACTAGAAGAATCAGAAGAATCAGAAGAACCAGAAGAATCAGAATGAACCAGAAGAACTAGAAGAACCAGAAGAATCAGAAGAACTAGAAGAATCAGAAGAACCAGAAGAATCAGAAGAACCAGAAGAACTAGAAGAACCAGAAGAACTAGAAGAATCAGAAGAACTAGAAGAATCAGAAGAATCAGAAGAACAAGAAGAACTAGAAGAACTAGAAGAACCAGAAGAACTAGAAGAATCCGTAGAACTAGAAGAATCCGTAGAATCAGTAGAACTAGAAGAACTAGAAGAATCAGTAGAACTAGAAGAACTAGAAGAATCAGTAGAACAAGAAGAACCAGAAGAATCAGAAGAACCAGAAGAACTAGTAGAACCAGAAGAACTAGAAGAAGAATGAAACCAGTCTTCTGTTTATATTTTAACTTTAAGTCTACCATCCATATCTCTCTCCGGAGAGCTGTCTGATTTCTCCTCTTCCTCACATGGAGCTTCCTCTTTCTTCTCTGGCTGCTCCTCAGATTCAGCCTCAGTGGTGGTCCTGATGGAGGAGGTGTGAGATGATGGAGGTCTGATGGAGGAGGTGTGAGATGAAGGAGGTATGGTGGAGGAGGTCTGTGATGATGGAGGTCTGGTGGAGGAGGTGTGAGATGAAGGAGGTCTGATGGAGGAGGTCTGAGATGAAGGAGGTCTGGTGGAGGAGGTGTGAGATGATGGAGGTCTGATGGAGGAGGTGTGAGATGAAGGAGGTCTGGTGGAGGAGGTCTGTGATGATGGAGGTCTGGTGGAGGAGGTGTGAGATGAAGGAGGTCTGATGGAGGAGGTCTGAGATGAAGGAGGTCTGGTGGAGGAGGTGTGAGATGATGGAGGTCTGGTGGAGGAGGTCTGAGATGAAGGAGGTCTGGTGGAGGAGGTCTCAGATGATGGAGGTCTGGTGGAGGAGGTCTGAGATGAAGGAGGTCTGGTGGAGGAGGTGTGAGATGAAGGAGGTCTGGTGGAGGAGGTGTGAGATGAAGGAGGTCTGATGGAGGAGGTCTGAGATGAAGGAGGTCTGGTGGAGGAGGTGTGAGATGAAGGAGGTCTGGTGGAGGAGGTGTGAGATGAAGGAGGTATGGTGGAGGAGGTCTGTGATGATGGAGGTCTGGTGGAGGAGGTGTGAGATGAAGGAGGTCTGATGGAGGAGGTCTGAGATGAAGGAGGTCTGGTGGAGGAGGTGTGAGATGAAGGAGGTCTGGTGGAGGAGGTGTGAAATGATGGAGGTCTGGTGGAGGAGGTCTGAGATGAAGGAGGTCTGGTGGAGGAGGTCTCAGATGATGGAGGTCTGGTGGAGGAGGTCTGAGATGAAGGAGGTCTGGTGGAGGAGGTCTGAGATGAAGGAGGTCTGGTGGAGGAGGTCTGAGATGAAGGAGGTCTGGTGGAGGAGGTCTGAGATGAAGGAGGTCCGATGGAGGTCAATGTGGTGGTTTGAGACACAACTCCCACTGAAGGTGTCGTTTTGTGACTCACCTGAGCTGCAGAAGGAAGGTGAGGATATTAATAAATCAGGTTATATTGTAATATGTATTTTATAAATCGCAGTACAATGTGCACATTTTAATTTTAACATCCTTTTTTTATATATATATATTTGTATTCTATGTTTTATCTATTTTTGGAATTTCTCATTTGTACTTCTTATGTTTATATAAATATTTGTACTTGTTATTGATGGTTGACTTTATGCTATTGTACAGATTCCAGATTAAATTAATTCTGACATTTTTGTGCAGCAGATTCAGATTTACAACATGGTTTAGACGCTTAAAGAATCCCTCTCTCTCTCTCTCTCGATGTTTTAATGATTGGCCTCACCTCTTCCCGGGGGGGGAGCGATGGGGGGAACCACTTCCTCTCCTGAATTTGGAGGCGAGGCGACGGTGGTTTTGACACTGGATATCTTCTCCTGTCCTGTGATCACAAACACATTACAACTCAAAGTCAACTTTATGTCAATCTTTCAGTTTGTGTGTACAGACAGAGAGATCGAAATACCGTTTCCCACAATCCCGGATATAAAAACAAATATATATAAAAATATGTGCGCAAATATGTATATCCTATATATACACAATCAAGACACATGTTTATAAATGCACACATTAAGACCTAAATAAAAACACAACAGTCAATATATACAAAATAACAGTCACTTCAATATCTTTGAGAATGTGCATTAGTGCAAGATTGTCCATAGCAGCGTAAAAAGTGAGGAGAAACCCTAAAATAAATCAGTCAGTCAAGTATGTGGAAAACGTTGTGAAAAGAAATCATGGTATATTATGTTGAATACATCATGGAAGAATATTCATTGTTCAGCAGGTCAAATATTTCATAAAAAATGTTAACCCTTTATAAGGCACTAGTAGGTTAACCCTAACCCGTTTCAGGCCTCTGCTGATTGGTCAAATTCCCCAATGGTGCGCTCTGTGGCGTAGAGTGATCTTCGCTGATTGGCTGGCAGAAAACCACATGCTTCTCGACCTCACTGAGTCGCGGGGGGACGCTATGTTTGTATGTTATGTAACCCAAATATGGTTCCTCACCCGATAAAGGGTTAATGTTATGTTGAAAAAATTGAAAGAAACCATAATGGTCTCTGTCCAATATATTCATAGTAAGTCAAAATATATAAAGTCAAATGTTTCATAAAAAAGTCATATGGCGCGTTTCCACTGCAGCGGGTAGCCCCGTTTAAGCGTCCTTAACCGTCCTCAAGCGGCCAGGCCGGTTTTTGGTGGCGTTTCCATATAGCCTAGTACCGGCCAGCGGGTACTTTTTCCCTCTTTTTCCGGCCTCATAAAATCGTGGTTCCCTCAGACCAGGGCCAGGGCTGAACTAGTGACGTCAACACTCTCGACTGCTGATTGGTCAGAGAGAATCGTCACAAGATTGCGCGCGAGTTCATCCCTAGCGTCGCATATATATCTAGAAGCAGGCTTGCAGCATTTTGTAAACGGATGAGCTACAAAAATGGCTACGTCTAATAAGAAAAGCACACCGTGGTCGACCGAGGAGGTGACGACGTTCCTACATCTCATTGGGGATGATCAAATCCAGCGGGAGCTCGACGGAACAACTCGAAATGTGAACAAAAACAAAGCCGATCGCCCCGCCTACACTGCGTTGCTACCGCAGGTCCTAAACTGTAATGGAAATGCGCCACGGCCTCGGACGGCCAGCGAGGCAGCCCGAGGCCTGAGTGAGGACGCTTAGGGACGCCTAAACGGGGCTACCCCGCTGCAGTGGAAACGCGCCAATAGTGTGTCAGAAACATGACATTTTTTTATAGTATGTCAAATATATGTAAAAAGAGAAAATATGTCCAAGGTTTCCAAAAAAGTCAAAGTATAGTATGTTAAAAAATGGATGAAAAAGTAATGGGATAGCAGGTATAGTAGGAAATGTATGAACAAATTCAAATTATGTCAAATATTTAATAAAAAAATAATAGTGTAGTACGTCAAAAAAAAAGAAGCATATATATATATTGGTCAGCAAGTATTATTTTTAAATCCAACCTCGGTCAAATATTTTCCAAACTACAGATTTCTTTATACCACTTTTAACGATATACTATACACTTACAATGTAAGAGACCATTTTAGACATACTGTACCGTGACATATTAGTTTAATTTGCCACAATGTCAAACTTTTCTCTTTAACTGAAAACAGATCAGGGTTTCCGAACTACAGATTTCTTTCTAACATACTTTTATACATCTTTTAATGATGAAAACAATTGGTATATAGAGACCATTTTAGACATATTGTACCGTGTCATATTTGATATAATGCCAAACTTTGTTTTAAAGTGAAAAGACTTTAGGGTTTCCAAACTACAGATTTCTTTCTAACATACTTTTATCTCACTTTTAACTCTAAGCTGACCTTGAGTTGTGTGAAAACCTGTTTCCTCTCGTCTCTCCTCTGAAGCAGGAGGAGTTGTTGTTGTTGTTGTTGATTCTCCTCCACCTGAAAACACAGATTACACAAAGACCTTCAGAAGTGAGACATTCAAGTGTCAAAGACAAAATAACTCACATTTCCTTTTTTTCCAAACGAAACACAGGTGTGTGATTACTGTGTGATTACTGTGTGTTTCAGTATCTTGATCTACACAATCATATTATATTTAAACAGTTTCCACATTCATCTAAATCAACAGTTCAAACAACTCAATAAAGCATGAATACATAACTGTTTAAATCACATTTAGAGAATTTGTGAGTGTTTTTTTCTCAATTTTATTTGAATATTTTGATGAAAATACAGCATTTTTTGTTAAGAACTCCACAGCATTGTATTAGACGATAAGGACACACTTTTAATTTAATTAGAGTGCCTTTTCTATTATATATTATTTGTATTCTTTGATTTTTTTTGTATCAAGAGATGTGTACATGTAGTCTAATTTATGTCTCCATTGATTTCGAATCATTAGGTCACATGACATTGAAGCCATTGAAGATAAATGGGCACTTTTCAATCAAGACATTTTAGATTTTCATAATTTATCGACATTAATGCATTAATCTGACCTGTTGGAGAGGCTGGTGTTGTCTTTTCAGATGTTGTTGAACTTCCTAACACCTCGTTGGATGCATCTGGGGATACAGTCGGTGTTGTTGTTGTTGTGGTTTTAGCCGTTGTTGTTTTGGCCGTGGTTGTTGTTGCAGTAAACACAGTAGTGAGGATGTCTTTAACTGAGGAAGAAGATTATAAAAATAGACCGGATTCAGAAATGTATCTCCCTTTTAAGTGAGACAAAGGATGGAGGATTTTGTGATTAGTTTAAAGTCACCTTGCTCATCTGAAGCTCCCTCCTCCTCTTCATCATCGTCTTCCTCCTCTTCCTCTTCTTCAGATGACCTTCTCCTCTCAGACGGTCTGATTGGTGCTTTTGCTGTCAGTGACGTTGTGACGATGAACGAATCTGCAAAAACATCAGAAATATTGTATTATTACTCACAATAAATATACCATTTTGTATATATATACTATATGTGCTGTCTTAAAATAATTTGTTTGCAGTTCATAAAGTCACCACTAGGAGTGCTAATGGTCATGTTATCTTTAAGTTTGCCGTTCTTAGCGTCACTTCCGGTTTAACGTTAGAGAAACGGCATGGCCAGAGAGTATTTCTCCAAATATAATCTGCTTCCATCCACAAGAAACATCCTAGAGGCAATTCTGTAAGTTCGTCTATTTGACAGATCATTTACTAGGAAGAATATTGTTACAAAGATCATTGATAAGTTATGATTTATTTACAACTATGTTAAACACTGTAAAGAATGCAGGAAAGCAATTTAAGTTTGTATTTACATTAAGAACAATGTTTTCACCGCCATGTCTATGAAGAATTGTGACAACGGTCAAACTTACTACGACTCTGTCTTCATTGGCTGCGGTTTAACTCAGTGTTTACACCAGAGTTTCAACACACTGCAGGAGAACACTACACTATATATGTTTTTACTCTAATATTAACCGTTTGGTCTGATAACAACAAATAAATGGTACATTTCCCCAAAAAATTGCTTTTTAGACACATCTTCAGAACTTTTTATAAAAAGACATTGACAAGTTAGTCCTAAAACATTTTTTCTTAAAGGTACAGTTGCAAGAAAAAGTATGTGAACCCTTTGGATTCTCCGCACATAGCGTTGTGTGTTCCTTCCAAACAACTCAACGTTGGTTTCATCTGTCCACAGAATGTGTTGCCAGTAGCGCTGTGGAACATCCAGGTGCTCTTTTGCAAACTTCAAACGTGCAGCAATGTTTCTTCTGGACAGCAGTGGCTTCCTCCATGGTGTCCTCCGTGGTGTCCTCCGTGGTGTCCTCCCATGAACTCCATTCTTGTTCATTGTTTTACGTATCGTAGATTCGTCAACAGAGATGTTAGCATGTGCCAGAGATTTCTTTAAGTCTCTAGCTGACACTCTAGGATTCTTCTTCACCTCATTGAGCATTCTGCGCTGTGCTCTTGCAGTCATCTTTACAGGACGGCCACTCCTAGGGAGAGTAGCAACAGTGCTGCACTTTCTCCATTTATAGACACTTTGTCTTACCGTGGACTGATGAACATCAAGGCTTTCAGAGATACTTTTTAACCCTTTCCAGCTTTATGCAAGTCAACAATTCTTAATGGCAGGTCTTCTGAGAGCTCTTCTGTGCGAGGCATGGTTCACATCTGGCAATGCTTCTTAAGAATAGCACATTCAAAACTGGTGTGTATTTGATAGGGCAGGGCAGCTTTAACACCTCCAGTCTCGTCTCATTGGTTGGACTCCAGGTTGGCTGACTCCTGACTCCAATCAGCTCTTGAAGAAGTCTTTAGCCTAGGGGTTCACATCCTGCACTGTGAATGTTTACATGGTGTGTTCAATGAAAACATGAACACATATCATTGTTTGTGTGGTATTAGTTGAAGCAGACTGTGTGTGTCTATTGTTGTGACTTAGATGAAGATCAGAACACATTTTATGACCAACTTATGCAGAAATCCAGGTCATTCCAAAGGGTTCACATACTTTTTCTTGCAACTGTATATTTTAGCCACTTCCTATCTTTTTAACTATTTGTTAAATGTTTTTGATATACTGTATGCCTAAACACGTTCGTTAAATGAAAATAAGTATGATAGAAAGGTTAAAATGTGCAGATACAAAACATTTGATTGATAAAAAAGTCTGAAAAACTTCACAAAAGGACCAAAACCTCTTATTTCTTTATCAGCTTCCTCAGATGACTCCTTCAGGTTGGTTGGTGTCGGCTCTCTGGGAGTTGTAGTCCTCAGAGGAGTTGTAGTCCTCAGAGGAGTTGTAGTCCTCAGAGGAGTTGTAGTCCTCAGAGGAGTTGTAGTCTTCAGAGGAGTTGTAGTCTTCAGAGGAGTTGTAGTCTTCAGAGGAGTTGTAGTCCTCAGAGGAGTTGTAGTCTTCAGAGGAGTTGTAGTCCTCAGAGGAGTTGTAGTCCTCAGAGGAGTTGTAGTCCTCAGAGGAGTTGTAGTCTTCAGAGGAGTTGTAGTCCTCAGAGGAGTTGTAGTCTTCAGAGGAGTTGTAGTCCTCAGAGGAGTTGTAGTCTTAAGAGGAGTTGTAGTCCTCAGAGGAGTTGTAGTCCTCAGAGGAGTTGTAGTCTTCAGAGGAGTTGTAGTCTTCAGAGGAGTTGTAGTCTTCAGAGGAGTTGTAGTCCTCAGAGGAGTTGTAGTCCTCAGAGGAGTTGTAGTCTTCAGAGGAGTTGTAGTCTTCAGAGGAGTTGTAGTCCTCAGAGGAGTTGTAGTCCTCAGAGGAGTTGTAGTCTTCAGAGGAGTTGTAGTCTTCAGAGGAGTTGTAGTCCTCAGAGGAGTTGTAGTCCTCAGAGGAGTTGTAGTCTTCAGAGGAGTTGTAGTCTTCAGAGGAGTTGTAGTCTTCAGAGGAGTTGTAGTCTTCAGAGGAGTTGTAGTCCTCAGAGGAGTTGTAGTCCTCAGAGGAGTTGTAGTCTTCAGAGGAGTTGTAGTCTTCAGAGGAGTTGTAGTCTTCAGAGGAGTTGTAGTCCTCAGAGGAGTTGTAGTCTTCAGAGGAGTTGTAGTCCTCAGAGGAGTTGTAGTCCTCAGAGGAGTTGTAGTTGTAGTTTGAAGGGAGGATGTTGAAGGTGTTTCTGTGTTTTTGTCTTCAAAGCTCAGTTGTGATGTTTTGATTGGCTCTGATTCTGATCCGAGACCGACCAGAGCTGAATCTGAAAAAGAGAAGGTGAAAGAGTTTAAAGAGGCCTTATTCTGCTTTTAGAGGACTCTTTAAAGTAGAGACACTACATACTGATATACACCTGAACATCAGCAGGAGAGGACTCTTTAAAGTAGAGACAATACATACTGATATACACCTGAACATCAGCAGGAGAGGACTCTTTAAAGTAGAGACACTACATACTGATATACACCTGAACATCAGCAGGAGAGGACTCTTTAAAGTAGAGACAACACATACTGATATACACCTGAACATCAGCAGGAGAGGACTCTTTAAAGTAGAGACACTATATACTGATATACACCTGAACATCAGCAGGAGAGGACTCTTTAAAGTGGAGACACTACATACTGATATACACCTGAACATCAGCAAGAGAGGACTCTTTAAAGCAGAGACACTACGTACTGATATACACCTGAACATCAGCAGGAGAGGACTCTTTAAAGTAGTGACACTACATACTGATATACACCTGAACATCAGCAGGAGAGGACTCTTTAAAGTAGAGACACTACATACTGATATACACCTGAACATCAGCAGGAGAGGACTCTTTAAAGTAGAGACAATACATACTGATATACACCTGAACATCAGCAGGAGAGGACTCTTTAAAGTAGAGACACTACATACTGATATACACCTGAACATCAGCATGAGAGGACTCTTTAAAGTAGAGACACTACATACTGATATACACCTGCAGATCAGCAGGAGAGGACTCTTTAAAGTAGAGACACTACATACTGATATACACCTGAACATCAGCAGGAGAGGTCACAGGCTCCTCCAACAGTGCAACACAATAAAACAGAATTTCCCCGCCCAGTTAAAAGCTGTTTCAGAAAAAACGATCACTTCATGGAAATAAAATGTAACAAACATCAGCAACTGTTCTTCTTCATATCCAAAACTAAAATACTGCTTGTATTCCTGAGTGTTTTCTCCATCACAGCCTCATCTAAGCCTTTGAAAGCGGCGTAATGTGAGTCATGCAGCAGGAGGAGAACAGCAGGGAAATTATTTCTGGAGATCTAGAAGCTGCATGATGGTCAGCTCGAGCCAAATGTAATTATGAGCAGCTTGGGAAAAACAAGATCGCCAGAAAAGTATTTCAGAGGAAAACAGGAAGTAAACGCACAGAGAGGAGAAAGTGTTTTACCTCTCGAGATGAAACTTGTGTGCACTGTTTCTTCTTCTTCTACTTCCTCTGCAACGTCTTCACCTTCCTGAAACTCCTCTGGAAAGACAGATCATTCACATTAACACACAACTCAGTTAATAGTTTTAATACTGTTTAAAAGATTTAAAGAAAACAGTTGTGCACTTTGAGGCTACACTTGGGCATAGTTGTGATTTGAGCTAAATGCTAACGTTAGCGAACTCAAATGAACAACCCTAACATGCTAATGCTAAGCGGGTATATTGTATACCATGTTCACAATCAGAGTGTAGCATGCTAGCTTGATTAAAAAAGAGGATTGTGATGCTCTTTGAGGCTGTACTTGTGCTAAGCTTTGATTTCAGCGAAATACTTATGTTAGCATGATCAACATCACACTGCTAATAATCCTGATTGAAGTAAACCATGTTCACAATCAGAGTTAAGCATGCTAGCATGATTAAAAGAAAACAGTTGTGCACTTTGAGGCTGTAGCCTACTTGGGCATAGTTGGGATTTTAGCTACATGCTAAAAGTGTAATGCTCAAAGTAAATACGCTAACATGCTCATGCTAAGCAGATATATTCAGTACTCGAGTTGAGGGGGGATGAGGGGGGAAATAAAAACGGTCAAAATCATCCCCCTTCTAAAACTGCCATCCCCCCTTTCCATCCCTTATGTAATTTTATCAATGAACGTGGCACTGGTATTTCTGCTATTTCAACATTAATTTTGCGCATTTTGAGTAAAATACTGTGAGCGAGGGAGCACGCACACACGCAATGACATTTTTACCAAGTCACTGACGCTATACTATGCGAGTGCCCTAGAGGGCGCCAGAGCGCCGTGATGCGCCTGTTTGATCGATGCCAGAAGCGCAGGTAACGGTCATCACAATGGCCAAGCGACCAGGAGGACAACGCGATCTGAGGGACTTCATATTTAAAAATACTAAAAATAACATATCAGGTAAGTCAAGAGTCAGTAATCTTAGTCATTACTCATTACTTTAGTCACCAAAGCTGGAATCTATGGACATAAGCAGCAATAACAACTTAGTTTGGAGTTTAGCTACGTTTTTCTCTCGTGTTAGCTAGCTGGTAAGACTCAACACTGTTGATGAAATGATACCACCAGCACCAGAAGAGCTGAAACCCCTCCTTCAAGCAGTGAACACTCTGGTCATCTCCACAGCTGAGTGTGAACGTGGGTTTAGTCAGATGAACATTTTAACCACAACTAGAAGCTCCCTGGAGGTAAAAAGCATGTCAGGTTGCTTTTCATCAAGTGTGTTGGCCCTCCACTGAACAAGTTCAGACCAGAGGTATATGTCAAGGCTTGGCTTCAAAGCCATTGCTTAGCTAACAATCCGAAAGCAAGAGCCAGAAAAATTGAGACCAAAAAGCATGATTATGAAAATCTTTGTAAACTTCTATGAGATGGGGGAGAGTGGAGATGGGGGAGAGTGGAGGAGGCAGCCATTGACAACATTGGTCCTATTTTGTATTATCTGTATAATCTTTTAATATATTTTCATATTTTGTAAACAATTTCAATTTGCACTTAATGCCCTGTTAAAAAAAGTAACATTGGGAATGTTAACATAAAATATTTATATTTGAACTGCAATAAAATGATGACGGATCAATTGTTTTCTAATTTTTTTTCTCACATTTTTCATGAAGAATTGACATAATGATTTAATTAATTACGATACAAATGTAACCCTTTAGATACCAGTTTTGATCGTATACCAGTAACTGCTTTTTTGAAAAAATACACTATAATTCAATATTCTAAAAACTATTTTGACTTTATTATTAGTGTAATCAGTTGATCATCTGAATAATAAATGAGAGACTGTTAACCTACAAGATTTGTACCATAGACTTCCATTATAACCACATTTGTGTATCCCCTCCCCCCCTTTAAATTAAAGTGAAAAAAAGATGTTGCACTAATTGTCCTCTGCATTTGACCCTACATGTTAGTGGTGCCATGGCAGCCGGGGACCGACTCTAATTCTGAAGTGCCTTGGTCAAGAGCAATGACAGGAGTATCTGAACATCCATAACATGCATGTTGTTTTAGGAGTATAATAATTATCGTTATGCTGGTTGGTCTCCCACCCTCTGCGGGTTATCAGCACAGATTATGTCCCCATATGATAACATCCACCATCCCCCCTGATTTTTTTTTACAACTTGAGTACTGGATATATTGTAAACCATATTCACAATAAGAGTTAGCGTGCTAGCATGCAAAGTACAACTGAGAGTGACGCTAATGGGATTAATGACCAATACCTGCAAAGCTATTGGACAAAGAAATAACATTTACCAGAAGGATAAAGTCGGAGAAGTCGGAGGATTACCTGTCATTCAAGTTAGAGCTTTAATTGAGTCCTAATCGAGCACAACCCATGGTGGAAGTTTTGCAGATGATCCTGAATAGAAACCTAACATTTTCCCTTAAAACAATTATTTGAAAAAGATCAGATTTAAGATCAAGGTTTTATAAAATACAGCCCGACCCTGGTGGGCAGAAAATCAAAGCTCTAAGGACAATTCTCCCTGAGATGGACTAAAAGGTCTTAAAGTCATAATCTAGCCTGTCGTTGTTATGCCATTTATTGCAAAACTTCAATATCTGAAGTCCTGTGAATGAATGCATGTTGATGACGTTGGAGCCATGCTGTATGATGTCCTTTTGTTGTTCTATTTATGTTTCATGTGGAACTACTTGAGCAGGTCTCCCTTGAAAAAGAGATCAATGATCTCAATGGGATGTATCTGTATAAATGACACAGGCATTGACCTCTGTTCAAACGACCTATTTGCACCATAAGGATTACACGATGTTCCTTCATCTTTCGCCAGATACGAGAAAGATAACGTGATTTTTAACTGATCTTGACCTGCAGCCAATCACAGCCCTTATACCTGCAGTTCTCAGCAGGGATTGGCTGCTGGGCGGGGGGGTGCTGAGGTTTCCGACCCCCCCCCAGGAGTCGCTGCTATTGAGGGTCATCAGAGGGTCCATGTCTGCAGGAAAGACAATCAAATATATCATAATCAGCTGTGTGAGTCTCGGTTAATTGTCATTTGATAATTGTTTAAAATCAATCTAAATGTTAATTTAATCTGTTTACAAGCTGCGTCTGACAAATAAACATGTAAGACATATTTTTAACGTGAACTCGGATACAGAAACATGTTTTACCTGCAGACAGGAAGGAAGAGTTGGAGAGGAAGAAGCTCAGAGAGTCGTTCACTGCAGAAAGATCGTCTGAGAAGGACAAACAGGAGGAATTCAGTCTCTGTGTTTAAATGCTCTAGAAATCAGTTTCATCTCAAATGTTCACATAATCAATGAATTATAAGATTGATAACAATGGATGCCTCGGTCTGAACACACCTGCAATCTTATGTGGTTACGACTACTATCCATCTACCTGTCTCGTTCAATTTGAGTTTGTTTTAATTTTAATCTGTGGGTTTTCTCCGGAAGTTTCTCCTTGTACGATGTGAGGGTCTAAGGACAGAGGGTCTAAGGACAGAGGGTCTAAGGACAGAGGGTCTGAGGACAGAGGGTCTGAGGACAGAGGGTCTAAGGACAGAGGGTCTGAGGACAGAGGGTCTGAGGACAGAGGGTCTAAGGACAGAGGGTCTAAGGACAGATGGTCTAAGGACAGAGGGTCTGAGGACAGAGGGTCTAAGGACAGAGGGTCTGAGGACAGAGGGTCTGAGGACAGAGGGTCTAAGGACAGAGGGTCTAAGGACAGAGGGTCTAAGGACAGAGGGTCTGAGGACAGAGGGTCTGAGGACAGAGGGTCTAAGGACAGAGGGTCTAAGGACAGATGGTCTAAGGACAGAGGGTCTGAGGACAGAGGGTCTAATGACAGAGGGTCTAAGGACAGAGGGTCTGAGGACAGAGGGTCTGAGGACAGAGGGTCTAAGGACAGAGGGTCTGAGGACAGAGGGTCTAAGGACAGAGGGTCTGAGGACAGAGGGTCTGAGGACAGAGGGTCTGAGGACAGAGGGTCTGAGGACAGAGGGTCTAAGGACAGACGGTCTGAGGACAGAGGGTCTGAGGACAGAGGGTCTGAGGACAGAGGGTCTGAGGACAGAGGGTCTAAGGACAGAGGGTCTAAGGACAGAGGGTCTGAGGACAGAGGGTCTGAGGACAGAGGGTCTGAGGACAGAGGGTCTAAGGACAGAGGGTCTGAGGACAGAGGGTCTGAAGACAGAGGGTCTAAGGACAGAGGGTCTAAGGACAGAGGGTCTGAGGACAGAGGGTCTAAGGACAGAGGGTCTAAGGACAGAGGGTCTAAGGACAGAGGGTCTGAGGACAGAGGGTCTAAGGACAGAGGGTCTAAGGACAGAGGGTCTGAGGACAGAGGGTCTGAGGACAGAGGGTCTAAGGACAGAGGGTCTGAGGACAGAGGGTCTAAGGACAGAGGGTCTGAGGACAGAGGGTCTGAGGACAGAGGGTCTGAGGACAGAGGGTCTGAGGACAGAGGGTCTAAGGACAGAGGGTCTGAGGACAGAGGGTCTAAGGACAGAGGGTCTGAGGACAGAGGGTCTGAGGACAGAGGGTCTAAGGACAGAGGGTCTAAGGACAGAGGGTCTAAGGACAGAGGGTCTAAGGACAGAGGGTCTGAGGACAGAGGGTCTAAGGACAGAGGGTCTAAGGACAGAGGGTCTGAGGACAGAGGGTCTGAAGACAGAGGGTCTAAGGACAGAGGGTCTAAGGACAGAGGGTCTAAGGACAGAGGGTCTAAGGACAGAGGGTCTGAAGACAGAGGGTCTAAGGACAGAGGGTCTAAGGACAGAGGGTCTAAGGACAGAGGGTCTGAGGACAGAGGGTCTAAGGACAGAGGGTCTAAGGACAGAGGGTCTGAGGACAGAGGGTCTGAAGACAGAGGGTCTAAGGACAGAGGGTCTAAGGACAGAGGGTCTAAGGACAGAGGGTCTAAGGACAGAGGGTCTGAAGACAGAGGGTCTAAGGACAGAGGGTCTGAGGACAGAGGGTCTGAGGACAGAGGGTCTGAGAACAGAGGGTCTAAGGACAGAGGGTCTAAGGACAGAGGGTCTAAGGACAGAGGGTCTAAGGACAGAGGGTCTGAGGACAGAGGGTCTAAGGACAGAGGGTCTAAGGACAGAGGGTCTGAGGACAGAGGGTCTGAAGACAGAGGGTCTAAGGACAGAGGGTCTAAGGACAGAGGGTCTAAGGACAGAGGGTCTAAGGACAGAGGGTCTGAAGACAGAGGGTCTAAGGACAGAGGGTCTAAGGACAGAGGGTCTAAGGACAGAGGGTCTGTGCTGTTGTATTTGCTGTAAAGTGTTTCTACTGTAGGCTGTTTTTATTATATGTTCAGCACTTCGGCTCGACCAAACATGTTTATAAATGTGCTAAATAAATAAAACTTGATTTGATTTGTTTTAATTTGGATTCTCTAAGCTTTTCAATGACTATATTTGTTCTTTTATAAAATACCTTGATGCTTGTCTGTTTAATCTGAATCGTTATGTTGTAAAAAGGCTGTTTTTGAAATATTGAAGTTTAGGAAAGAACCCGAGCTTTAATTTGAAAGAGCCTTAAACCTGCATTCTCTCTAATATCCAGCAGGGGGCGACGTTTGCAAAAAGAGGTCAAAATGTATAGAAGTCTATGAGAAATGTAACTTCCTTCTCTCTTGATTTATTAGCTTACAGTTTCCTGATGAGTTTATTGTCTCAATCCCTAGTTTCAAGTCTTTTTCAACACACCATGACGTTCATTTTGTAAATTATGATCCCGTTTAGAGTCAAATGATTTACTTTGTGATTGACAGGTTACTTTAACCCTTTCACAGTTGGTTTTCCAGTTCATGAAAGATAATTGTAAACGTTTTTTTTTTACTGAAATGACTTTTTAAAGGTAATGTCATTTGCTCCTTCCTGCATCCTCTTGCGTAATTGTGTCCGAAATCATGTCAAAAACCACCAACCAATGGGTGACGTCACCATTATTTGGTCCACTTTTTATGTACAATCTATAGTTGAACTCATTAGTTTATACGATTATCCGGCCTCAGTGACATATGAGGCACGTTACACCTGCTTTTCATCCCTACGCCGCGTCATCAGAGGGTTAAAGGGAAATGAAAGTTGATCTGAAGTTCAAACTGAGATATGTATTCGAACACAGGAGCTTTATTTGATCCGTTCTGACAGAGCTCTCCTCTGAAGTCTCCTCTTCAACAACCTCTCCTCTCGTCAGACGGATCAAAGTGTTTCTCTGAGCGTGGATTAGCCGTCAGGAGGTCAGCGTTTTAATTGGCTGAGAGACGCAGAGGTGTGTGAGTCATCAATGTTCGCTCTCCCTCATCGATTGGTGGATCTGACGCTCGGTGTTTCGGGCGTCTTTCGGGCAGTTTCACCAGACTCAGAACATCCATAAATTGCTAATTATGTATCTAATATATAATTCCATGTACTTGTACATAGACTCTCCCTGCACTATTTATATTCTATGTGTGTTTACTTGCACATCTCAGAACATTCTCTTGCACTATTGTATCTGTTTTATGTCCTATATATATTCATCTTGCTCTGTTGGAGGAGCCTGGGACTTTTTCATTCAAATAGCTACATAGCTACATAGCTAATGTGCTGACAATAAAGCCTTGAATCTTGAAACTTCAGGTCGTTTTCAGGTCAGTTTCAGGTCAGTTTCAGGTCAGCTTCAGGTCAGTTTCAGGTCAGTTTCAGGTCAGCTTCAGGTCAGCTTCAGGTCAGTTTCAGGTCAGTTTCAGGTCAGGTCAGTTTCAGGTCAGTTTCAGGTCAGCTTCAGGTCAGTTTCAGGTCAGTTTCAGGTCAGTTTCAGGTCAGCTTCAGGTCAGTTTCAGATCAGTTTCAGGTCAGCTTCAGGTCAGTTTCAGGTCAGGTCAGTTTCAGGTCAGTTTCAGGTCAGTTTCAGGTCAGCTTCAGGTCAGTTTCAGGTCAGTTTCAGGTCAGTTTCAGGTCAGCTTCAGGTCAGTTTCAGGTCATTTTCAGGTCAGTTTCAGGTCAGTTTCAGGTCAGCTTCAGGTCAGTTTCAGGTCAGTTTCAGGTCAGTTTCAGGTCAGCTTCAGGTCAGATTCAGGTCAGCTTCAGGTCAGTTTCAGGTCAGGTCAGTTTCAGGTCAGTTTCAGGTCAGTTTCAGGTCAGCTTCAGGTCAGTTTCAGGTCAGCTTCAGGTCAGTTTCAGGTCAGTTTCAGGTCAGCTTCAGGTCAGTTTCAGGTCAGCTTCAGGTCAGTTTCAGGTCAGGTCAGTTTCAGGTCAGCTTCAGGTCAGTTTCAGGTCAGTTTCAGGTCAGCTTCAGGTCAGTTTCAGGTCAGTTTCAGGTCAGCTTCAGGTCAGTTTCAGGTCAGCTTCAGGTCAGTTTCAGGTCAGGTCAGTTTCAGGTCAGTTTCAGGTCAGCTTCAGGTCAGCTTCAGGTCAGCTTCAGGTCAGTTTTTTCAGGTCAGTTTCAGGTCAGGTCAGTTTCAGGTCAGTTTCAGGTCAGCTTCAGGTCAGTTTCAGGTCAGTTTCAGGTCAGCTTCAGGTCAGTTTCAGGTCAGTTTCAGGTCAGTTTCAGGTCAGCTTCAGGTCAGCTTCAGGTCAGTTTCAGGTCAGTTTCAGGTCAGTTTCAGGTCAGTTTCAGGTCAGCTTCAGGTCAGTTTCAGGTCAGCTTCAGGTCAGTTTCAGGTCAGGTCAGTTTCAGGTCAGTTTCAGGTCAGCTTCAGGTCAGTTTCAGGTCAGCTTCAGGTCAGTTTCAGGTCAGCTTCAGGTCAGTTTCAGGTCAGCTTCAGGTCAGTTTCAGGTCAGGTCAGTTTCAGGTCAGCTTCAGGTCAGTTTCAGGTCAGTTTCAGGTCAGCTTCAGGTCAGTTTCAGGTCAGTTTCAGGTCAGCTTCAGGTCAGTTTCAGGTCAGGTCAGTTTCAGGTCAGTTTCAGGTCAGCTTCAGGTCAGCTTCAGGTCAGCTTCAGGTCAGTTTTTTCAGGTCAGTTTCAGGTCAGGTCAGTTTCAGGTCAGTTTCAGGTCAGTTTCAGGTCAGCTTCAGGTCAGTTTCAGGTCAGCTTCAGGTCAGTTTCAGGTCAGTTTCAGGTCAGTTTCAGGTCAGGTCAGTTTCAGGTCAGCTTCAGGTCAGTTTCAGGTCAGTTTCAGGTCAGCTTCAGGTCAGTTTCAGGTCAGTTTCAGGTCAGTTTCAGGTCAGGTCAGTTTCAGGTCAGGTCAGTTTCAGGTCAGCTTCAGGTCAGTTTCAGGTCAGTTTCAGGTCAGCTTCAGGTCAGTTTCAGGTCAGGTCAGTTTCAGGTCATTTTCAGGTCAGCTTCAGGTCAGATCAGTTTCAGGTCAGTTTCAGGTCAGCTTCAGGTCAGTTTCAGGTCAGTTTCAGGTCAGCTTCAGGTCAGTTTCAGGTCAGCTTCAGGTCAGTTTCAGGTCAGCTTCAGGTCAGTTTCAGGTCAGTTTCAGGTCAGTTTCAGGTCAGTTTCAGGTCAGCTTCAGGTCAGTTTCAGGTCAGTTTCAGGTCAGCTTCAGGTCAGTTTCAGGTCAGCTTCAGGTCAGTTTCAGGTCAGCTTCAGGTCAGTTTCAGGTCAGTTTCAGGTCAGTTTCAGGTCAGTTTCAGGTCAGTTTCAGGTCAGTTTCAGGTCAGCTTCAGGTCAGTTTCAGGTCAGCTTCAGGTCAGCTTCAGGTCAGTTTCAGGTCAGTTTCAGGTCAGCTTCAGGTCACTGACGTCACTTAGACTCACCTGCTCCTCTTAACAAAGATCCAGACTCCAGGCTAATGCTGACAGAATCTGAAACTGACAAAAATGAAAATATGTTATCATTTAATAAAAATGACGTCAAATACAGTGTTTCAGGTTTTATTGTACTTGAATAAATACAAAAATACAAATAGAAAATAGTGCAATAAGTCTATATACATGTACATAGAGTATGAAATGTACAAGAACAATGTGAAATTAAATATTGTACATTAAGACGAAATTATATACGGTTTATTGCGGTGATAACTATTTAGATACATAAATACATATACATTTAATTTCAATTTAGATTAAGTCATCAGGCAGACTCAATCTTAGTATCTTCAATTCCTTTTTCTTATTTAGTTATTCTGTATTATGATTTTTTAAAAAGGTTTATGGAGGTATCGCCCTTTTGTTACGACTACTATCTTGAATTTCCTACCTGTCTCGTTCAATTTCAGTTTGTCTTTAATTGGTATTCTCCTTTTCAATGACTACATTCTTATGTGTTTCTTTTAACACCGTAATGCTTTTCTGTTTAATGTGAATTGTTATGTTGTAAAAAGGCTGATGTGTTTCCTGTGGTGATGTTTGATGATGTTACCGGTTTGATTCTCCGCGGTGCAGAAAGACGCGTGGAGGTTTTTCAGAGACGAGTTGTATTCGCTCCGAGTCATGCAGTCGATGGCCGCCTGGTCACATTCACAAAACCTCTGCTGGCACCGGTCACCAGCATCTGGAGGTAGAGAAAAGAGCTTTCATTCAAGTCTATGCACATCCAGAAAGACATACAGCAGGACTACTGACAACATCTGTATTTCTTTGATTGAAAAGTGGCAGTTCATGCTTCAAGTAAAATGACCAAAAATGTAAATCTACAAACATGTTACATTTTAAGCTCGGTTTTGTGTAGTTTTACCGGCTTCATAATTTCTCAAGGTGCAAATAAAAAAGTACATTACATAAAAGCGTACCTCAGCAGAGCCCAGTGGGTGAATTAGCACCTCTCAAATTGCCAAGCCAACACCCTACGGATTGAGCTAATGAGCACATTTCCCCAAATACTAGTTGAACATGACATTTTGACATTTCTATATGTTTGTATATGTTTCCAGTTATTGTGCTTTTTATCTTGTTTTTAATCATTGTTTTATTGTTTCACTCCTATTGTGTTATTCCATATTGTATTTGTTCCCTGTACAGCACTTTGGTCAACTGAGGTTTGTTTTAAATGTGCTATAAATGAATAAAGATTGCGATTTAGATTGAGAAATGTCTCACTGTCTCTTTCCACTGGAAGTCTTACCACAGCTGGAGTTTGCTGCTGAGCAGGTGGAGTTGTTGGGGAGGGGGATCAGCGCCTGCCTGCAGGGGGCAGCGCTCTGATAACACACTCTGTGAGTCTCACAGCAGCTGAAGCAAAGAAGAGATCAGGGATTACTCAGAAGCATGTTGTAGGTTCAGAGCTTTTATACAATACCATTTACCAGGCTGGGACCAAGCCCCCAGGAAGTGCTCCGGACTCAAACGGCGGTACTACCATTTCCAAATCAGTCCGTGACGTCACCTGGCCCAGAAACACTTTCTCCCATTGACTTACATCGGGAAAGAGACGTCTGTAAATCAGCAGATATTTTTTTAATCTAAATATATACCCAATATGAACACTTTTATAGCTTTTATTAGAATCATTAGGTCCTTAAAGTTGTAAAATGAGCTAAAAGCCGAATTCTGATTTATTTTCTCTGTCCATTCATTCTAGTGAGCCGAGAGCAGGAGCTCGGGGGCGGGGCTTAAGGGGCAACTCAACTGCGCTCTATGAGCTACATACGGGTTTTTCTGCTCTGACAGCAAGGCATGATGGGTAATCTGTGACGTTTTGCTCTTGAGAATGTCAGGCCATTTTGTCCTCATGCGCCAATGAGCAGCTCTCGTAGGAAAGAACGAGACCCCGAACGCTGTATCCAGTTTTTATTAAACATCCATGGCCAATCATCCCAACGTTTTGATTTCTTCCTCCGATCCTCTGACAATTGTTATCTCTTAAAATAGTGTAGGTCAATCGGAAAAAGTCTCTTTGGGCTCCAATGACGTCACGGACTGACATGGAAGTTGTAGTACCACCATTTGGCCACTAAGAACATTAGCCATGTCTCGATCTTTCTGCCTATTTGAGTTTTAAAACTCTTCCCGCCCGATAGGCCCATGCCCACCTCCATACTCCATGCTGTTTTTTATCTACAGGGTGTTGCTCACCTGTCCAGAGGGTCCACAGGGTTTCCGGAGGAATCGTATCTGCAGGAGCAGCCGTAATCCTCCAGGTCTCGAGGACACATCCCCGTTGCACAGCGGAGCTTCAGAGAGAAACTCAGCAGAGAGGGGAAGTTATCGAAGACCGAGTGAAGCCAGGTGAAGCGAAGGCCGAGACAATCTGCACCGAGAGGAGGGAAACAAGAGACACAGATGTGGATGAATGATGTGAAATCTAATCAAGTGTTGAATCAGACTTTAGTTCCACCTGGAGTAAATCCACCAGCTACCCTGCAGTATACAAAGTACTTCAAACTAGCTGCACCTTCACCAGCTTTGAGAACACTTTCATGATCAATCATTATAAAACATATCATATATATTATTCTGAAATGGACCAATCTGCACAATGAATACTTTTACTGTCTTTCACTATATTTTGATGAGAATACTTTTCTACTTCCACTTGAGGAACATTTTGAATGCAGGACTTTTACTGTAACAGAGTATTCCTACACTCTGGTACTTCTACTTTTACTCAAGAACAAGATCTGAGTACTTCTACTTTTACAAAGTACAAGATCTGAGTACTTCTACTTTTACTCAAATACAAGATCTACTTCTACTTTTACTCAAGTATAAGATCTGAGTACTTCTAGTTTTACTCAAGAACAAGATCTGAGTACTTCTACTTTTACTCAAGTACCAGATCTGAGTACTTCTACTTTTACTCAAGTACAAGATCTGAGTACTTCTACTTTTACTCAAGTACAAGATCTGAGTACTTCTACTTTTACTCAAGTAGAATATCTGAGTACTTCTACTTTTACTCAAGTACAGGATCTGAGTACTTCTACTTTTACTCAAGTACAGGATATAAGTACTTGTTCCACCTCTGACTGATATTAAGGAGAAAGTAAAATACATAGAATCAGATTTATTTGACCCGCAGACAGACACGAAGAGGCTGTGAGTAAAACCCCATTCCCTTCTCTTGGCAGGTGTGGAGCAGAAGAGATGTAATCACAGATAATGCTGTTGGCAGGAACCTAAGAAGCATGCAGGGCGGGAAAAGAAGGAGTCGACAGCTCTCCACATGTGAGGTGAAGCCACAGATTGTGACTACAGGTGTCTGAGAACATCACAGTCCACCTTCATGTCAACAACATAACAACATATCACACTAAATCAGCAGCGTTATAGAAGCTAGACCATTAATGGGGCTACGAGGTGTCACTCTGAACATTTACCGTCTGACCTGCTGACATTTAACTGCCACGAAACAAATGACTGAGCACACGGAGATAGGGATGCATATCGTTGACTTTTTTTATAACGATACCACTGAACGTTACCGATACTCGACCGATACATATCGTGATACTTTCATGTTGCATAAGGGAACATTGAATCATCCCGCAATTACTCTCATGAAGCGCTTTCTGATATAATTAACATGTCGAATGAATATTAAAATGAATTGTGGAACTTCAACCTTTTAGTACTGAGCAAACAATGACAAACACAAAACAAAGAATAATGGATTTTAAATGGTCAAAGATAAGCACAGTTCATAATATGTGTTTAGATGTATAGTACAGTGCTAACAGATGCTAACGTGCTACAATGACCCTAAAGTCTTCCATCAGGGGAAACGTGCTGCAGCTTAAGAAAATAAGCAGATGTAAAAACACAAATGTTCCAAAACACCCTTTATAATCCTGAACATCACCAAGCGCTCCGGTCCCAGATGTGTGCATCACTTTTTAGTGTCCCCTGGTTCAAAATGTTAGCATACGGTTAGCTCGTGTATAATTAGCTGCATATGAACTCACTGAACCCCCATCAGCACTCTGACCTTTCTTCCTCATATGAAATGCTGCGTTATTAATCGTTTGAACTCCAACGAATACGACTTGGCTGATTAATTCTCTCATACTAATTACAGCCTCATGCCTCTTGTGTCTCAGTACATTATGTTCCTCCTCACCGGTCATGTGATCTGTGTTTGGGTCTCTTGCCTCGGGGTCCGGGCAGAAGATGGAGGCACACAGCGCTGCAGACAGAGAGGAGACTGTTATCATCATGATTTCATTAACATTGAACACATCAGTGCACTAAAACAAATGACATCATGCCACATTGGGATAATTACACAAAAGACATCAAACCATCGTAAAAAACACAAAATAAGATTGAATTGAATCTGCTTTGGGAATAATGAAGGGTTTTCTTCTTCTGTTGTTTGCTGGTTCTCCTTCTGGTTCTTTTTTCTTCCAGTTCTTCTGGTTATTTTTAATCTGGTTTTTCTGGTTCTTTTTATTCTGGTTCTTCTGTTTTGTTTTTTTCTTCTGGTTTTTCTGGTTCTTTTTTCTTCCAGTTGGTTCTTCTGGTTATTTTTAATCTGGTTCTTCTGGTTATTTTTAATCTGGTTCTTCTGGTTATTTTTAATCCGGTTCTTCTGGTTATTTTTAATCCGGTTTTTCTGGTTCTTTTTATTCTGGTTCTGCTGGTACCTTTTTATTTTTCTTCTTCTACTGGATGCTGACAAATGGCTAACTATTTGAAATTACCTTTTCCAAATTCATCTGACAAAACGTATCTATTTCATCAGTAAATGTAAACAATTGTCAAAAGGTATTAGCTATCTTTCCGTCCACATTTTGAAAATATAGTAAAAGAGGTAAATATAAAGCAGCTTTCAGATATTTATAACATGTAACCCTTTTTGTCTGCAGTATTAAGGAAAGACGTCTCATGCAAACATAGAAGCGGCCATTATGTAACCAACGTCAAAAGACTAGCTCAGGTTGTGTTTTTGGAAATGTAGAAGGGTACTCACCGTTTGGAAGAGCAGATAGCATGAAAATCCATATCAGAAACATGACTTGTATCTGCATTCAGGGAGAGAAGACACTTGGTTATTGGGATTAGAAAATGGGAACCAACAAATATGGATGAATCCACCACTGAGTAACACTGTTCGATTGAGAAGTGAAATAATAACAATTGCCAGGAGCTTTTAATACAATGTGTAGGTATTTTTGTCTGATTCTTGCCTTCTTTCCAAACATAAAATAATCTAAAATACATTTTGAATATGTCTGAATATAATGTTGTTTCGCATGTGGTTGTAATTCCCGGTGCGACCACAGGGGGCAGCACTGAGAGTATAAATGTGCTCCACTTAAAGAGGGCTGCAGAACTGAGTCCTAAAACCAAGAAATTAGTGAGCATTTTATCTTCATTTTCCTGTCGCCTCGTAAGTATAAAAAAGGTTGAGATTATTTTCTGCAATAATCCAACATCCCATGAAGAAATCCCATTAGATTTTTGCGGAGGGAACGAAAGAGATGCTATAGAAATACGTGATCTCTCCACAACTCTATCACACAAACTAGTCTCAAAGCCTGCCCTCACACCCTCAGGGGATATGAGGACACTAAAGTCAATCAAAGAAATAAACGTTCTCATCACAGAGGAGCAGAACAGCCACCATTTATTTATTTGTTCCTGTTGTTATGGAGACCTGAATTCACCCTGATGCAGCTCCATAAATTACCTGTGTTATTACAGTGGAGACGGACGACCTTTCGCTTGCTGGTTCAGTTTCTTTACTGGTTTCCAGGAGCTCAGCGTGACGAAGTCTATCATTACTGTGATTCAGGCTCAGAGCACATTTCACTAAAATAAACTATCATCACGTCGTCCGTCTCGTTAAAGCTTTATATATTCAGGCTTTATTCAATGTTTAATGTCACCTCGGAGCTGAGGTGTGTTCAACTGTGAACGCTAATGCATCCAACTGACAACAGAGAGACGTTTGTGCTATTTATAGTGCAATAAAGGCTCTTATTTTGCGCATTGTACCTTGACTTGACTGCACAATTACTACATTGACAGAAATGTTGTGACACTTGAGTCACAAGAGGCATTTTTGTGTAATTTCCCCCAAAAAAGATATTTAAACAACTTTTTGAATGTGTAACCAGATTGTTTTTAGCCATCTTCTTTGCAAACTTTCTTAAAAGGAGCAACGGGAACGAGAACGACAGCTTTTCTGGCAAGAAACTTGAATCAACATCATAGCCTGATTGAAAAGCGGTAAAGAAGTAAAGTGAGAATGAAAGCATCTGATTATGACCGTCAAACAATGGCTGAATTATCATACACTATGGCAGTTTTGGCATTAGTTCGCATATTTATGCACATTTTGAGTACAATTATTGTACTTCTGGCAACTCAGAGTTGGTTTATCAAAGATTATGAAAAGGAAAACAGATGCCTGGTGCTGGAAACAATGAAGGACAGAAAGATTGTCATAAAAACCAAAACAAGAAGCTAAGAGTCTACTTTCATCAAAAAATCATATAAGGTATACACAACACCACAAATTAAGATATGTAACGATGAATCAACCCGCCAAAAGAAAGTGGAGGAATGTGGAGAGACTCGTAGGGTCAAGGCCTGTAAATACTTATCGCACTTGTGGACAATTGCGTTACATTTTAATATGAATTTGTTGTTTAATGCAATAATTATAGAGTCTTTTTTGAGAGCTTGTTTGATGAAAACTGAAAAGAGCAGAAAAACCAAAACAAGAAGCTCAAAGAAGCTCAAAGTGTTCTGTCCGCTATCATCACAATCATATCTTAAAGAACAAAATGACAGAGCAACAGCATCATACAGTGAGACCTGAAGCTAGAAGAGGCTAAGATGCCCTGTCCACTTTGATCAGAATCATAAACACCAAATGACAGCACAACAAAACCACAAATGAAGACCAGTAATGATGAATTAACAAGCCAGCAAACAAGGCAGTGCACATGGAGGAATGTGGAGAGACTAAACCAGAGAAGGAAAGTGCAGAAAAAACAAAACAAGAAGATTAAAAAGGTTAAAAAGTCCTGTCCACTTTCATCCCCCATACCACGTAATGACAGAGCAACAACACCACACATTGAGACCAGTAACGATGAATTAACAAGCCAACAATCAAGTGGAGGAACGAGGGGAAACTAGTAGGGTCAATGCTTGCAAAACAGAGACCAAAGCAGACAAGAAAAGTGCCGAAAAACCAAAAGAAGAAGAGAAAGCACGTCAAAGTGCCCTGTCCACTTTCATCCCTGTCCATCATCTATAACACAAAATGACAGAGCAATAATCATGACTTCAAAAAGCTTAAATCACAGGTCGAGCGGTCAAACAGACGGTGAGTGAATGCAATCTTACCTTCTGGTTTGGGTGATGGCTGCGGAAGTTGTGGTCACTTCATGGAATAAAGAGGTTTAAACGCTGAGTCATTGTAAGGCATGAGCAGCCAACAGAGAGGGAGGAAGACCTATTGGTGCCTTTAAAGCCTTGCTGGGACTCTTAGTGACACCTGAGCAGCAGATTATCATGCTGTGGGTTCCTGTGCAGGTATTTGAAGCTTTAACAGAGGCAGGGTCCGGACAGAAGGACCCACAGAGTGGTCTTTGTCCGATGGGGGGGTTTATGTGTGACCCCGGGGTCGAACCGGTCTTATCTGATCCTCCAAGGACTTCATTAGATCAATGTCTACCTGAGCAGTGAAGCAGAGGAAGGTTAATGACAGGGAGCGAATGAAGGGGGGATAGTGAGGCATTGTGAGGGACGGGTGCATCAGGTGTCACATGTCATGTTACAGAGATAACATTACAGAACCGCGACTGAAGCAGCTCTTGTGGATTTAATAGACAGATCTGTTCAACTGAGTATTCATGTAAAAAGAACCACTTTAAGCTCAGTTCCATCCACAGATGTGCCCCTGGGAACACGTCTTTCAGTATGGAAAAGTAGACTAATGAACCTTGAGCTTCTCAGACCACAATAAAGAATGAATTTCACTAAAAATGGGCCGCTCTAAAGTACAGAGCAGTTTAGTAAGGGGGGGTAGTGAGGCTTTGTGAGGGACGGGTGCATCATGTTGATGTCAAATGTCATGTTGCATACGAGATACAATTACTGAACCGCCGCTCCTCCACCGAAGCAGTTCTTAGAGCGACTCGTGGACAGATCTGTTCAACTGAGGATGCAAAAAGACCCACTTTAAGCTCAGTTCCATCCACAGATGTGCCCTATGTGGGAACACGTCTTTGAGTATGGAAAAGTAGACTAATGAACCTTGAGCTTCTCAGACCACAATGACTAGTTTGTTTGACTAAAAATTGGCCACACATAACCATATAAAGGCCATTAGTACTTTGGCCTTTTATACATTACTGTAAGTACATTTCACTGATAATACTTTTGTACTTTTACTCAAGTAAGATCTTGACTTTTACATTCACATTTAAGTATTTCGACAACATGTATTGGTGCTTTTACTCAAGTGAAGCATCTGAACACTTATCTCACCTCCTTGCCCCCTGATTGCATAAAGGTGGGGGAACCATAACTGATGTGAGGGTTAGGACACATGCAACATATTTCCCACGGTCATTCTGTACTTGATTATGATCCTTTGAGCTTGACAACGTTTTTGTGAAGCATCCTGTTACTATTTAATGATCCTAAACGGAGACAAGAACAATTTAAATTGGTTTATTTAGAAAGAAACAATTTATACATCTCTGCTTTTCAAGTTCCACACTCTTTTCCATCCCTTAAAATAATCTGTTCGTATTGAAATGCTTGGTTTTAAATATGGTTTTCATAAATAGGTTTTAGTTTCAGGTTCCCCGACTTATGTGTCCTTAGCGAGTCAAACGTTTAGTCCTCTTGGCCCTAAAACAACCTAATGACAGAAAGTGTAACACGTTTCCCTTTTGTATGAAACCTTCAGACGTCCCTCCAGATGATCCCTGGAGTCTGACCCGTGTCCCCCTGAGTCTCTTCTGTGAGGATGAACAGCTCTTTGTTGGCCCGTCACAGTTTGTTGCACATCTTTGTGAGGCATCTCTGTTTCAGATCTGTGGAGGAGGAAGAGGAGGAAGAGGAGGGTTACAACCACAGACTCATCCTTCATCCTTGCAGATATCTTTGGAAATACTTAAGGGTGAAATAAGAGTTTTTATAGAAATTGAAAAGAAAATAAAGCAACAATTCAAGTGATGTTATGCACAGGTGTGTTTCAGTATGTAGTGTCTCTACTTTAAAGAGTCCTCTCCTGCTGATGTTCAGGTGTATATCAGTGTGTAGTGTCTCTACTTTAAAGAGTCCTCTCCTGCTGATGTTCAGGTGTATATCAGTGTGTAGTGTCTCTACTTTAAAGAGTCCTCTCCTGCTGATGTTCAGGTGTATATCAGTATGTAGTGTCTCTACTTTAAAGAGTCCTCTCCTGCTGATGTTCAGGTGTATATCAGTATGTAGTGTCTCTACTTTAAAGAGTCCTCTCCTGCTGATGTTCAGGTGTATATCAGTATGTAGTGTCTCTACTTTAAAGAGTCCTCTCCTGCTGAGGTTCAGGTGTATATCAGTATGTAGTGTCTCTACTTTAAAGAGTCCTCTCCTGCTGATGTTCAGGTGTATATCTGTATGTAGTGTCTCTACTTTAAAGAGTCATCTCCTGCTGATGTTCAGGTGTATATCAGTATGTAGTGTCTCTACTTTAAAGAGTCCTCTCCTGCTGATGTTCAGGTGTATATCAGCATGTAGTGTCTCTACTTTAAAGAGTCCTCTCCTGCTGATGTTCAGGTGTATATCAGCATGTAGTGTCTCTACTTTAAAGAGTCCTCTCCTGCTGATGTTCAGGTGTATATCAGTATGTAGTGTCTCTACTTTAAAGAGTCCTCTCCTGCTGATGTTCAGGTGTATATCAGTATGTAGTGTCTCTACTTTAAAGAGTCCTCTCCTGCTGATGTTCAGGTGTATATCAGTATGTAGTGTCTCTACTTTAAAGAGTCCTCTCCTGCTGATGTTCAGGTGTATATCAGTATGTAGTGTCTCTACTTTAAAGAGTCCTCTCCTGCTGATGTTCAGGTGTATATCAGTATGTAGTGTCTCTACTTTAAAGAGTCCTCTCCTGCTGATGTTCAGGTGTATATCAGTATGTAGTGTCTCTACTTTAAAGAGTCATCTCCTGCTGATGTTTAGGTGTATATCAGTATGTAGTGTCTCTACTTTAAAGAGTCCTCTCCTGCTGATGTTCAGGTGTATATCAGTATGTAGTGTCTCTACTTTAAAGAGTCCTCTCCTGCTGATGTTCAGGTGTATATCAGTATGTAGTGTCTCTACTTTAAAGAGTCCTCTCCTGCTGATGTTCAGGTGTATATCAGTATGTAGTGTCTCTACTTTAAAGAGTCCTCTCCTGCTGATGTTCAGGTGTATATCAGTGTGTAGTGTCTCTACTTTAAAGAGTCCTCTCCTGCTGATGTTCAGGTGTATATCAGTGTGTAGTGTCTCTACTTTAAAGAGTCCTTTCCTGCTGATGTTCAGGTGTATATCAGTATGTGGTGTCTCTACTTTAAAGAGTCCTCTCCTGCTGATGTTCAGGTGTATATCAGTATGTAGTGTCTCTACTTTAAAGAGTCCTCTTCTGCTGATGTTCAGGTGTATATCAGTGTGTAGTGTCTCTACTTTAAAGAGTCCTCTCCTGCTGATGTTCAGGTGTATATCAGTGTGTAGTGTCTCTACTTTAAAGAGTCCTCTCCTGCTGATGTTCAGGTGTATATCAGTATGTAGTGTCTCTACTTTAAAGAGTCCTCTCCTGCTGATGTTCAGGTGTATATCAGTATGTAGAGTCTCTACTTTAAAGAGTCCTCTCCTGCTGATGTTCAGGTGTATATCAGTATGTAGTGTCTCTACTTTAAAGAGTCCTCTCCTGCTGATGTTCAGGTTTATATCAGTGTGTAGTGTCTCTACTTTAAAGAGTCCTCTCCTGCTGATGTTCAGGTGTATATCAGTGTGTAGTGTCTCTACTTTGAAGAGTCCTCTCCTGCTGATGTTCAGGTGTATATCAGTATGTAGTGTCTCTACTTTAAAGAGTCCTCTCCAGCTGATGTTCAGGTGTATATCAGCATGTAGTGTCTCTACTTTAAAGAGTCCTCTCCTGCTGATGTTCAGGTGTATATCAGTATGTAGTGTCTCTACTTTAAAGAGTCCTCTCCTGCTGATGTTCAGGTGTATATCAGTATGTAGTGACTCTACTTTAAAGAGTCCTCTCCTGCTGATGTTCAGGTGTATATCAGTATGTAGTGTCTCTACTTTAAAGAGTCCTCTCCTGCTGATGTTTCAGGTGTATATCAGTGTGTAGTGTCTCTACTTTAAAGAGTCCTCTCCTGCTGATGTTCAGGTGTATATCAGTATGTAGTGTCTCTACTTTAAATAGTCCTCTCCTGCTGATGTTCAGGTGTATATCAGTATGTAGTGTCTCTACTTTAAAGAGTCCTCTCCTGCTGATGTGCAGGTGTATATCAGTATGTAGTGTCTCTACTTTAAAGAGTCCTCTCCTGCTGATGTGCAGGTGTATATCAGTATGTAGTGTCTCTACTTTAAAGAGTCCTCTCCTGCTGATGTTCAGGTGTATATCAGTATGTAGTGTCTCTACTTTAAAGAGTCCTCTCCTGCTGATGTTCAGGTGTATATCAGTGTGTAGTGTCTCTACTTTAAAGAGTCCTCTCCTGCTGATGTTCAGGTGTATATCAGTGTGTAGTGTCTCTACTTTAAAGAGTCCTTTCCTGCTGATGTTCAGGTGTATATCAGTATGTAGTGTATCTACTTTAAAGAGTCCTCTCCTGCTGATGTTCAGGTGTATATCAGTATGTAGTGTCTCTACTTTAAAGAGTCCTCTTCTGCTGATGTTCAGGTGTATATCAGTGTGTAGTGTCTCTACTTTAAAGAGTCCTCTCCTGCTGATGTTCAGGTGTATATCAGTGTGTAGTGTCTCTACTTTAAAGAGTCCTCTCCTGCTGATGTTCAGGTGTATATCAGTATGTAGTGTCTCTACTTTAAAGAGTCCTCTCCTGCTGATGTTCAGGTGTATATCAGTATGTAGTGTCTCTACTTTAAAGAGTCCTCTCCTGCTGATGTTCAGGTGTATATCAGTATGTAGTGTCTCTACTTTAAAGAGTCCTCTCCTGCTGATGTTCAGGTGTATATCAGTATGTAGTGTCTCTACTTTAAAGAGTCCTCTCCTGCTGATGTTCAGGTTTATATCAGTGTGTAGTTTCTCTACTTTAAAGAGTCCTCTCCTGCTGATGTTCAGGTGTATATCAGTGTGTAGTGTCTCTACTTTAAAGAGTCCTCTCCTGCTGATGTTCAGGTGTATATCAGTGTGTAGTGTCTCTACTTTAAAGAGTCCTCTCCTGCTGATGTTCAGGTGTATATCAGTATGTAGTGTCTCTACTTTAAAGAGTCCTCTCCTGCTGATGTTCAGGTGTATATCAGTATGTAGTGTCTCTACTTTAAAGAGTCCTCTCCTGCTGATGTCCAGGTGTATATCAGTATGTATTGTCTCTACTTTAAAGAGTCCTCTCCTGCTGATGTTCAGGTGT